TATCAACGTTTTATGATATTTTTTGGAGTATTAAGGATAGTTTTAAATAATTGCCGTTGTGGAAAGTAGAGCGCAAGCGTTTATTTGAATATATCGGCGCCGGCGCGTTTAAATTACCTGTTGCTTAGCAGCAGCAGCGTCTGTCATTTAATTTTAAAAATAGTAATAATAATTAGAGTAATATTAGATAAAAAATAATGAATATTAATTTAGCAGACATTTGATCATTTTTGGAATTTTTGTAACAAATAAGTTATGGTCAAAAAAAATTGACATAGAAATTTTAAAAACTTCTTAAAAAATTTTTTTTAATGAAAATTAAGTGAACCGACACTAAAAAATTTTTATTAATTAAAAACTATTTTTAAAAAATTCCACGTATAATTTTTAAAATTTTCTACATGTGTAAATTTTTGTTTTAATTTTTTTTAAATTATTTTTCAATAAAATAAATTATAGAAGTTTTTAAATGTCGGCTAATTTAATTTTGATTTTTAAAAAAAAATTAAAAAATGGTCAAGTGACTGCTAATTTTAATGTCATTTAAAAATATTGCATGGAAACACTCACCAAAAACTGATGACACCGATGTAGAGATGATAAACAGGAGAGTAAATTGTATAACCAGTGACGATTTGTAATCCAAATAATTTCGTCGCTCCATTGTTGCAAAGCCGGGTTTAATCATTATATTTTTATCCACACAATAAAAAAATGAAAAATTTTTCACTCACACACAAACACATATCAAACCCCGGGCACACCGTGGCAACGTTCAGCTGCCTCACTATCCGTCATTTGACCACCAGGATCTAGACATTCGAAAAAATAAATCAATTTTAATATTGATTCTTATATTATATTTTTTTTATTTATTATTTGTAATTTGTTATTTATTTCTTTTTTTTTTTTTTTGATTGGATTTGTAAAAATTCGTTATTTAATTAAACAATGACAAACTTCACCACACTGTTCGAATAGACGCATTAATCGGATTGTTTTATCGGCAAAAGCGACTCGTGGTACGAGAGCACTGTCTGGGTTTGTAAATAATAATAAATAAATAAATAAATGGAATATAAACACTGGATCGCGAGGTAAAAATTTATACGAGCACGACCGCGCACAAAACACGTCTGGGCATCTATTGTCCTTCAAACGCGCTGAAAGTAGTTCCCGGATGCGCGCGCACCTGCCGAGGGATGACTGTGTTATTACGCGCGGCAAAATGGCTGCCCGAAGGGCCCAATCGGAGGTCGGGGATAGGAGAAGAAGACTCGGTTACAAGGGAAATGGGAGCGCGGCGGTCGCTCGTGTTTTCTCAATAGATTTAGGGGGAATTTAAAAATTGCTGGATTGGGGTTCGGGGTGCTAGTGGATTTTTCGACAGACAACAGATGTTACTTTTTTTTAAACGTCCCCATATTGCGTGTGATATAATTGAATTATTGTAGATGATAGTTAACTACTTTATTTACTGATATGGATCGCCTAGCTTCTAGATTTTTAGATGAAAATTAATTTAGCATGTATTTAATAATTTTTTTAAAAAATTTATAGCAAAAACAATACTGACATGTAGAAATTTAAAAAAATTAAAAATGCTATTTTTTAAATCCAATTTTTTGAAACTAATTTTTTTTGATAAATAAAATAAAAAAATTGTTAAGTAACTGCTAATTTTAATGTCATTAAAATTATGGTTGTTACTGAAATTAAAAAATATTTTAGAGGTAAATTGTAAATTTTCTTTTTAAAAATTAAATTTTACAGAAAAAAAATATCTGTTAATTTAGATACATTTTTTTATAATTTTCATATTTCTATATATTAATTAAAATAAACCAAAAAAAAAATATTATAGTATTTTTATTTTTACACAATTAAAATTGATATTTTGTACAATAAAATAATATTTGTTAAATAATTGTAAAAAATTTTTAAGTTTTTTCATAATTAAAATTCATACTATTAATTTTAAAATAAAATAATGGTTAAATATCTCATAATTAAAAAAAAAATTGTATTTAAAATGAATAAAAAACGACATTTAACTTTCATCAAACATATGTTCATTCTTAAACATTTTTTAGGATTGAATAAATTTAAGAATTTAAAGACTCAGCCCCTATTTCCTATCTAATGATTATAAAAAAATTATTCAAGATAGTATAAATAATTCATAATGTAAAGTTAGGAAACAAATTTATAATCCTAATACAATTTTCGTTAAAATTTAATTCTAGATGTTTAAATTTTAAAAATTTCTATTGCAGAAGTCCACCACAAATTCCGACTTATGTTATCCTCCAAGTCCAAAACAGGATACTCTCAATCTAGTATAAAAAATTATGTTAAACCTCATTCTATTCTTTGTTGCAGTTTAGAGCCCCGGAAGGGGTCGGAAGTGACAAGAACCGGCTTTTCGGGACTTTAAAAAATTGCATGAAGTCCTTTATTCTTTTTACTCATCAACAAACTTGCGTGTATTTAAAAATCATCTTCAAAAATCCTAAAAAAAAAAAAAAAAATACAAAACTATTAATAGTTTTAAATTTAAACTTTGAATAAAATTTTATAAAAATAAAAAATGTGATGAAAGAGTAACCTTTAATATTTACATACCTTTTATAAAATTCTTAAAAAAATAAAATAATTATAATCCAAAAGAGCAAAGCGAGTAAACCCCACGCAATAATAAATCTCTCTGGTCTTAGCTGATTACGCGTTAACTTAAAATTCATCGAGGGCAATTTTCGCGTCGTCTGCTAACGAATATAAATGCTGAATTCGGTAGTATGGTCTGAGGAAGCAAAAGCTCAGAGAGATAAAGCACATACGGCATTAATATACACATATGTATCCTTATTCACAATATACATACATATATACATATAAATATAAATAAATTTCTTAAGCACGAATCCCTTGTGGAATCCATACCAAGTGATCTGTTCGCAGATGCCGAACGCACGAGTGTGGAGCTTGAGTCATTAGTTCTTATTAATGAAGCCGTTATATATTAAGTTTATCGTCCTGGTATATACAACAAACATATTCACGATCCAACTCATCCAATGTCGAGCTAATTAATGCCGCTTCGTGCTGTTGTACACTATATACGCCAATGGAATAAATTGTCACGATTCAAATAACAGTAGTATTTTATAAAGTTACTTTTTTAAAACTTTTTTATTTTTATTCAAAGACATCTTCGTTATCATTTATTATTTTTTTATTCTCATAAATATCGCAAGATCTAAAGCCCGAACCAGTGAGTCCCCTGACCAGAACCTTACCAGCATGGGTGGAGGAATTTTAAATGAATTATTTTACCAACTTTAAATTATTAGAGTCAAAAAGTACGAGTAATGCTATGTATGTGTTTGTGTTGATCAAACGGTTACGTTGTCACGGTTACTGTACGTTACATACATATTTAATTCCATCGATATTCAACGTCTTTGTTTACAACACTAACTAGATTCTATATTCTCATCTAGAGTTTAATGTACGCTTAAAAGATGGCTGATCCTCTGGTACCTTCTAATCAAGAAAGTAAATTGTCTATTCTTAATAAAAAAATTATTGAAATTAAAAAGAAAATCCAACTTTCTGGTAAGATTTTTTTTCTTTTTATTGTTGTGTTTATTTTTACTGAAATCTTCCACACTATTTTATGATAAAAATCTTTCATACGAATATTACTGAAAAAAAAGAAAAAAATTATTCAGCAAAATTAAGAAGTGACCTTGTGTATTATGAAATATTGACATTTTTAAAGATATAAGCTCATCCCGATGTTACACTTATCAAGACCTTTCATTTAAATACCCACATCATTTTTCATATATTTATATATCTATATATGAAAAATATATCAAAAATGCATGTGGGTACTCAAATGAAAGCTCTTGATGAGTGTAACATCAGGATGAGCTTACATCTTTAAAAATATTAATAATTAAGAAATTACCTTGTATCTTGTCAACAACTGACATTTTTAAAGATATAAACTCACCCTGACATTATACTCATCGAGACCTTTCATTAGAGTACCCACATGCATTTTGATATATTTTTCATATATACATATATATAATATATATAATATATGAAAAATGNGATATAAGCTCATCCCGATGTCACACTCATCGAGACCTTTCATTAGAGTACCCACATGCATTTTGATATATTTTTCATATATACATATATATAATATATATAAATATATGAAAAAATGATGTGGGTACTTAAATGAAAGGTCTTGATGAGTGCAACATCGGGATGAGCTTATATCTTTAAAAACGTCAATACTTAAGAAAGTACAGTGCAATTTAACAAAAGTCATTATTTAATAAAGCAAAATTTTATTTATTTGAAAGAATTGATATTTCTTTTCAATAATTTTTCATTTAAAAAATCCACTCTCAATTTCATTCTTCTTAACAATAAAAATAATTACAAAAAATCACCAGAGTTAAATGTTAAAAAAAAAATATAAGATTTATCCGAGTAAAAAATGGTTTTGGTAACGTAAAGTAATCATTGGTAAGAGAGTAATGAATTTAATTGCAGCCTCAAGAAAAACTGATGATGTGTATTTAATATTTAGTTATCCTTCTTTATCATCTTATATTCTTGATGTATTTATTTTAGTGTATATATAATACAATAGTTGGTTAGGATGTTATTATTGTGTTGCTTGGAGTCAAGTATATTAGTACTTATACAACTTAGTTGGTCTGTATACACAATACGATACTAGGAGATACAATTCCATAGTCACGAATGGTTTGAGCACACAGAGATCTGAGAGAGGAGCATCATCAGCAAGTACAGAGTTCAGTGAATGAACCGCGTGGTTAATTCAGCGGCTAACTGGAGATGCTCTGGGGTCAAGTTTTACGATTCCACGAAGAGTTCTGCACGCGCATTCCCTTTATATATATATATTATATAGTATATACTATCAAACATGATCGTCAATTCGTGTTGAGAGACATTTTATCTTTTATTCTGCAGACAAATCATTCATCAAGACAATGAATTATTTATTCGGTTACAAGTTACAATTAATTATTCGCTTTGTTTCAGAGGGACAAAGGAAGGCTAATTTTGAAGAGTGCGACGCTAAAATACGAGAAAGCAATGATAAGACAGTCAACCTCAAGAAAGACATCAAGAATTTGCTGTCCAAGTATGCCAAAATTATAAATGTGAGTTTTTACTTCTTCAATTTAAGTTAATCATAATTATCTCTTCAACCCTTTCAATAATTCATTGTTCTTTTTCTCAGAATGAAGAAGCTGCAGAAAAAGTTTTACCAGTAAGCCGGGAATCATCAGCGTGTATTAAAAGGCGCGGATTGCGCGAAGCTATTTCGCGTGCTGATGAAGAAAACGTCCGTCTGAGAAAAAAACTCGATCTGGTCAAGTACAAAAGTAATAAGGTATTAATAAAAAGTGATTTGTTTTTTAAAAAAATTGCAAAAAAAAAAAATAAATGCACTAGCCGGGAATCGAACCCGGATCGCCCGCGTGGCAGGCGAGCATTCTACCATTGAACCACCAGTGCTTGATACCCCTCGTGGCAGCTCGCTTTTATTTCCACTCCAAAATCGTGCTAATAATATTGATAAAAAAAAACCTATTTTATTAAATAAATAGTGATATTTTTCCTTTTTTTGATGATAAATGTCGAATAATGTCTACGCCAATCCTAGAAATGGTCCAATATTGACTTAGCTGTCTACAGACTAGTTACTCCAAATTACGAAATCTGAAAAAAATCATCAATATCAACCTAAATATTTTAGAACTAATGTTTTGTTTAATATTATGTAATTTTTTAGGTAAAATAAATTAAAATTGATGAAATTTTATTTGTAATCTCACATTAAATAATGCTGAGTCGCTTGACCTCTTTGGATTTAACCAAACGATAACGATCAGTGCTTTAGCGTCAATTCTCTTGTCTGTGAGGCAATAATATCTGCTTATATTTTCTTTTATATTAAAATCACATTGTAAAATCTATACTATAGCTGAGTGTATTTTTGTTGAGTATATTTTGCTGATTATGCCCTTATATGAATTACGTCTTAATAGTACTTCATACTGTTAAAACTGTATCGCTGTATATATTGTCAGAATGACTCTGTTAATGACTAATGCTGTTGGATCTATGCATAAGAAATAAATTAATTTAATTTTAGCAACAAGAGCGACTTGCAAAACTCTTAGATGATTACAAAGAATTGATGAGCGGACGGACACAAAAATTATTGGAGAAAAAGCTTGAAGATCCTTTGAAAAAGGTTCAATACTATAGTAAGAATTCAAAATTTTCCCTAAAATCATCTCAGTCAATATTAAAATTTCATAACACCTCACAATTTAGAAAATGAATTATAAAAAATTGAAATAATATTAAAAAAATTTTTCAGAAAATTGTGAGCTTGGAAAATCAATTGCACCGAGTAAGTGTTATGCAAATGGAAGCTGACATGGTGAGAAAAAAATACAGATCAGTAAGAGCGAGTCTAAAATCAGACGCTGCATTCTATGTGTCTTCGTTAAAAAATTTAGAGCAGAGTATAAAAGAACAAGAGCTTGAAATCAAACAACTGCAGGTCAGTTTTTACTATCTAATAAATAAACCGATAAATTTTAACGGCTGTGTAATTAAACGAAACTGCTTTTATTTAATATCGATAGAGAGTGAAAGAAGAGGCTGTGGAATTGAGAGACATAACAAAAGAGGCATTGATGCATCAAGAAATAGAGGCGATGCAAAAAAGCAAAGAACGCGATCAAATAATTCTCGACTACAGACAACGAGTTGAGGATCGTAAATTAGAGCTCGAGCGATTGGAGAGGTTGATTTTTCCTAACACTCGTGTACCTGCGCGTGAAGATGACTTTGAAGGGGAAAAACGCAAGCAAGACAGCGAAGAAGCTGATGATAAGCCTGTAGATGAGATGACTCGTCTTCAGGAAGCGTTTACTAAGCTGAGAAGTGCCACTGGTGTCACCAAAAATGAACAAGTGCTTGATAGGTTCCTAAGCCAGCGCGCCACCAAGGATAAGCTGCAGAAGATGAGGGTATCGATGGAAGAAGACAAAATTAGTTTAGAGAAACGTCGCCAGCAATTTACTACCGAAATTGAAATGCAAAAATTTTCCGAAACCAAAGACGCTGATCAGTGAGTAAATTATTGGCTATATTTGTTATTTTATTAAAAAAATTTTTAATTAAAATATATTTTATTTGGTAATAGAAATGCGGAAAAATTGGCAAGATTGAACGCTGAAATATCTGAACAAACGGAGCGAGAAAAAAAAGCAGAAGCTGAAAGTCAGCGAGTGCAAGAAGTAATAAATGAAGTCGCGTTGATGCTTTGGAAATTTTGCGATAGACTTTCTGTAAGTATTATTTTATTTTTTATAAAAATAAATCTTACACCTACACTCTAATTATAAAGTCACCGTATGGTATTGTTACAAAAGTATCAATATTTATTTCTTAACAATAATTAAAGACTAAAAATCCGCACTTGTATCCTCCGAATAACGTCAAAGTCCATATCTAGTATATATTTTACAGCCTACAATTAACTCTCTACCCTTCTACGAAAAAAACACTGTGATTGATTCCAAGGTTGCTTTTAGTGAAGAAATTTAACAAGTAAAAACTTAAGTATATATATATAAATTCTCATTCGAAAGGTGTATTTAATTTTTGTTAAATTTTCGAAAACCACTAATTGTAAAAGTCATTTTGTAGCAACTATTTGTTGATCTTAAACTTGGAATAAAATTAAAAAAAAAAAAAAAAAAACTAGATAATAATAACAAACGATGTATCTAAAAATGAAGAAAAATAAATGATTCAAAATTTAGTGAGCCATTTAGGCGGGACGTTTAGAAAAATCCTTGAAAAGATCTCCGCCTCTTTATGAATTTTTCGACGGATAGACTTTTATTCGAGCGATATTATCATCTTTTGTATATATAAGTGCCTAGATGTAATTATCACCTCGATGAATAGATATAGTTTGTAGCTCTAAAGAGTGTGCTACTCTAGGAAGCATTAGCACCTTAAGTTGCCAATCGAAGGTAAACATACCGCTCCAATCTTTTACATTAGAGGCCTATTTCGAAGTTCTATTGGCCTATCGGCTTCTTTTTTACGAATGATACTTTAAAATCTACGGTTACTAATAATAAGCATATACGAAGATGGAGTTATCACTTACGAATTGAGTAGCTTCAAACGTGTAGACTCTATTGTTGTTATTGTTATCACTTGTTAATTTGTTTTTAGGACGTTAATCCAACGCCGGTACCGCCTGAAGACTCCCATGAAAATCCGCACAGACTTTTAGAGCTTCTGGAAGAAAAATTAACAGCTGCTATCAATATTATGGGTGGGCCGGAAAAATATGCCGAATGGATACAAGAAACAGCTGCTGATAAGGTTTTATTACTGTTACTTTTGCTTGTTACTTGTTAGTTATTACGATTATTTATCACACGAACTGTAATTAAAACATTCAACAAGTTTTTACAGTTAATTTTGTGAGTAACTGGAAATTTGTTTCTAAAAAATCTTAATTGCGTTATTTATTTACCTAGATTGATATTTTATCGACGGAATCAGCGGGCCATGAAAGAAAAATAGATATTGATGATCGCCCGTTATTTCCACGTTTTCCTGGAACACCAACTCCTGCAGCAGCACCTGTGCCGTCGGATGATGAGGAAGAAGTCCCCACGAGAAGTATTCTCAAGAGACAAGCTCAACTTCTTGTCGACACGAAGAGCCGAAGAAAGGCCTTCAATTTCAGAAGATAATTCTTTGCTGTAATTATTTTCATTATAAATTTATAAAAACTTTAATAGTTAATTGTTTATAAAAAAAATAGTCATGTTTTTATTTTAATTGTAATTTCAAAAATATTTTAAAATTTTGTCTGTTTAAAATTAAAAATAAATAAAATTATAAAAAACAAGCTGGTCAATAATTTATTTTTTATATCTTTTTAAAAGTTTAATAAATTTTTAGAAATAATTTATTTATAAAAATTAAAAAAAAAATTTATTAATAAAAATTAATCTAAATTATTAAAAAAAAATAAGATTAAAGTTAAAAACTAGAAAAAAAAATGTCTTATAAAATAAAAAAAAAAAATCTTATTTAAATATAAATTATAAAACCAAAAAATAAATTTATTTTTTATCAGTTTTACTTTCATTATAAATGATTAATTAATTTTATGTAAACAAGTTTATGCATTTATTATGTATTCATTTACGAGCTGGAGCATTACAAATCGGTCTTGTTAAACAAGCCTCGACTCTTTCACAAACACTTTTTATTCCAGACGTCGCATCGACAACATTTACTGAATCCCCAGCATGCTTTAATATCGACTCAATATTTTCTTGAAACAGTTTCAGCTTAAAGGACATTAAATTTGAATAATTAATCCCATTAAAAAAAAAAAAATGCCTTGTCAATTTAACTTAAAAAAAAAAACCTCGCCATTAAAAAGCAATCAAGGTTTTAAGTTTGAGGCTTCATTATACATTTATACATTTAAGCCACTCAATAATAATAACAATGATAATTATTATTAAATTAAACAGAAGAAAAAAATAGCTTACATCCTGTTCAACTTTAGTACCATAATCTTTCGGATGAGCAGCCAATTCTTGACCAAAATCACACTGAAAATCTGAGTCTATCGTTAAGTGATGCTCGCTTCCGGTAAGTATATTAAATCGCCGAGACAGTAATCGTTCTCTGCATGTCACTTGATCGACGCTGAGAAAAATGATCCTGACCCCCCGCACCGATAAAAAATATAATAAATAATAAGTTATAAATAAAAATAAAAAATTTAGTAAATCCGTAGCAATAAAAACTACACTTAATATTAAAAGTCTTTTTGTCGACTTATCAGTAATCATAAAACCTGTTTGGAGGTGTCGTAAGCGAATTCAGCAGCCGAAAATCTTCAACAGTCAGCGGATATCTAGTCAATACCCAGCCTTTTCTGTTACACTCCTGGCTCATCAATTTATTCTAAGTATTATTCAAATTTTTAGATAAGAATATATCTCTAATATTATATTAATGCACTAATATACACACATATTAAATAGGCATTACCTCCACGACTTTAAATCTCATCTCCGAGCCGGGTACCGTACCCCGATAATCCAAAGAGCGTAGCTCTTGGCCGAGCAATGAATTTTGTTTCTTCGTTTGCTCTAACAGATAATCCAAGTCAACATTTACAAGGCCGTATTTTTGAGAAAGATATTTCGCCACGGTTTTAAATCCTGATCCTCGTGGACCTATCAATACTACACGATAAATACTCGGTATATCGTATCTTTGTCTTCTTGTGATTGAGATACAAATGTTTCCTATCTCTTCACATGTTCTTCCCGTAGATTCTATTTTCTATTTAAATACCAATAAATAATGATAATGATGTGTCACTAATTGTAAAACTAAATACATAACTGAGTAATTACTAATAAAATTTACGTGTAAAAAAGGCTTGTATTCATCACGAAGACTATTAATGTGTAAATTATAATCAACAGAGCCGTTATTTTTGCTAACCTGTGCCTTCAATGCATTATCACGAGAATTATCTCCTAGTAAAAATGACGCATTCATTATTTTTCTTTATTTATTATCAATTACTATTACTATTTATTATCCGTACCTAAACTGTCAATTATTTCAAAGACATGAGTCGGAAGAATGCCATTTCTTTTCAAAGCACGAGCTTCTGAATTATTTCTTGGTAAATCTTACAAAAGAATATATTTTATAATATCAATTTTTTACTGTAACTATTGCTACATTTATTAATGAAAATTAAATTAGCCGACATCTAAAAATTTTTAGAATTTTTTTTTATTGAAAAAATTATTATAAAAAAATATCATTGAATAAAAAACTTGAAAAGCTGAAAGTGCAATTTTTAAAAAATATTTTTTTGTTCTAATTTAAATATTGAAAAAAAAAAAAAATTAAAAACGTCGGCTAACTTTAGTATTATAATTTATTTACCAATAAATATCCAGTCTTTGCAAGAATGTAAATTTTCTAAGCTCAGATTTGAAACTGAATCATTAAATTGATTTTCTGGTTTGATATTTAATTTTTCTGATAAATATTCAGCTAGCTTTTTTTTATCTAGTTAGAGGAAAATATTTTTTTATTTAAATTTAAAAAAATAATTGACTTACGAATTTACCAAAATCCGGCGAAGATAGAATAAGAATTATTCTCAGGCGATCTTGGTAGACTGGATTTTCTTCCAGCCAATGCTTGATGAAGTGTAGAGGATCACTTGGTTTTTGTATCACAAGATCTGTGTTAATATCCTAGATGAATTATTCATAAAATAATTAAAATTCAGCTAATTTTATTTTTTTTTGTCACAATTTTCTGCATCTCAAATCATGAATTACACTTACATTAAACAATTCATAAATACGATGCTTTTCAAGGTAAGGCAAGAAACAATTTAACCCAATATATTTTTTTGTCATATTCATTTTTCAATCTCAATTCTCTCTTAATTTGTCAATTATTTTTGTACTTGTGTAATTTTTAACTAATAATATATTAATTTGTTATTAAAAGCAACTAAAGAGCCGCAGATCTGTTGGTTCCCATTCAAATGAATTTTGTAGTTGATGTAACAAGTCCAAACCTGCGTGAAGTAATCGATTCCAACAATCGAATAAGTAGAAATCGAAACTTCATGCAACTTCAGTTTGTTACTTCGGTAAATGACCACTTTTCTGCGTAGCGTTCGCGTTTGTCAATCAGTGGTCGTCAACCAATAAAAACAAAATTCTTGTGACATATTTATAAAAAAATAACAAATAATAATTTTTAAAATAAAAAGAGGTAATTTTTGAGAATAATAATTACTATTAATTAATTAACAATGAATATGTTTGGAGGAAAAAAAAGTAACCTACCACCTCGACCAAGTCTTCCTCTAGGAGAACAAATTATGGAAGACCTTCAAAATGCAAAATCTAATGATGTCGCATTTAATATTAATTATAAAAATGGTATGTATTTAATGTTAATCATAGAAAATTTTTTAATAATTTAATTTTAGATTGATTATTAATCATTTATTTATTTATTTATTTATTAATTATTAATTATGACAGCTTTGTAAATAATAATAGCTGTCAGAGGCGCTGTAGTCGTCTTGCCTTTTAGCGCCAAATTTAAATAAAAATTGAATTCTATTTTTAAATTACAGATAATAAACAATACAATTTGCATTTCCCGACGAATGTCAATGATGCTGAAACAATATACCGCCAAGCCCGGAGATATCTAGACGGAATTGAGCAATTGAAAGTACTCTCCGAAAGTCTTAACCAAGAGCAATCAGCTCTTCAAGTCAGTTACGAAGAAATCGTTAAATTAGCGCAAGAAATTCGTGATCAAGCACAAGCTGTTCTCGTTAAATAATTTATATTTATATTTTGTAATAACAAACTATACTTTTACCATTTAAATATTATAAATTTTATTCTAAAAACAATTAGTAAGACTTTTCTTAAAGTTTCAATTCTGAAATTCGAAACTCCCGCTCAGTACTGTAGTCAGCTGTTCCCAACAACAATTCACTATTTTGATTTACGTCATATATTTTCATTTAAACAATTAGTTTCATGATAGTTCTTCAAGAATTAAGTTAAAAACAATGTTTAAATTTATCAAACAATGTCCGAAGTTTCGGTTAGAAAATTTAGGTACGATATTTTTAATTTTTACTTTTCTAAACATTGAAACTAGGTTATACATTTATATTTATTATTGATTTTAGAATTAATCAATTCATACTTTTGTTGCTTTAATTTCTGTAATTTTTATTAATAAAAAAGAAGTAAAATTCCATAAATGACACTAAAGTTAGCCGACGTTTTTAATGATTTGATTTTTTTTTATTTATTAAACTAAAGCTAAAAAATATTTTTAAAAAATTTCACTTATAATTTTTCAAGTTTTTTTTACAAATGAACATTTTTTTTATAATTTTTTAATAAAAAAAATTCTAAAAATTTTTAAATGTCAGCTAACTTAATTTTTATAAATTCTAATAAATTATTTTTTTCATCCAGGAATACAACAATTAGTTGACAATTACTCAACAATAATATCATCAAGCCCAAGTACCAGAAACCAATCATGCGATCATCACCAACAATTATACGGCCAACCAACCGCACAAACGCATCCTCACCTATTAAAACCCGGTGAATTGGTACCTGGAATAAAATTAGATGAGTTTAAAACCCGTCGGACAAAATTAGCAGATTACATTATAAAAAATTTCTCACCAAAAGATGCAAACTCTCACATTGTAATAATCCCATCCGCGAGCAAAGTCTACATGTCTGATAAAATTCCGTATGTCTTTCGTCAAAATTCAGATTTTCTGTACTTCACTGGCTGTCAGGAGCCGGACAGCGTCTTGGTGATGACAATTGACAGCGATAAGGTGTTATGTACATTATTCGTACAAAAAAAAGATCCCAAATCTGAGCTATGGGATGGACCGGTAACTGGAACTGAGGCAGCTGCTGAAATGTTCGGAGTTGACCAGTCACTCCCGGTTTCCGACTTTGACTCCTACTTAAATTCGCTGGTTAATAAGTACCGGTCCAGTGCATCAATCTGGTACGACAATCATGACATTATTCACAAGGAATTTCATAAAAAAATATCTACGTTGGGAATACTAGCCAGTACGGATCGATGTCGGTTGGCCCCGACGTCGATAAAGGATATTTTTCATCAAATTCGCTTGATCAAATCACCAGCTGAGATTGAGTTGATGCAGAAGAGCTGCGATATCGCCTCGGAAGCTATTGCCAAAACAATAAAAGTTACCAAGGCTGGTATGACAGAGCATCAATTATTTGCGACGGTGGATTACGAGTGTCGGATGAATGGAGCCGAATTTTTGGCATATCCTCCAGTTGTTGCTGGAGGTAGAAATGCTAATACCATTCATTACATTACAAATAATCAAATTCTAAACGATGGAGATATGGTCTTGATGGATGCTGGTTTGTACTTTTTTACTTTATTTCAACCTACATAATTTTCTATGTCCACTAATTGTTATATATTTTAGGATGTGAGTACCATGGATATTCGTCAGACATAACAAGAACATGGCCTATTAGCGGTAGCTTCAGTCCTCAACAGAAAATTTTATATGAGATAGTTCTCGAAGTACAAAAATTACTCATCAATAAATTGAAAAACCTTCCTACCTTGGATGATTTATTTTATGACATGGGCAACTTGTTGGGTAAAAGATTGCAAGAGATTGGCTTGATACCTAAAAATTTTTCGCATGATAGATTAGCTGCCACTGCTTTTACTTATTGCCCGCATCATGTGAGTCATTATCTGGGAATGGATGTTCATGATACAGGGAAAATTTCACGGAGTATTAGAACGCAACCTGGAATGATTGTCACCGTTGAACCAGGTACTATATACTTATTAATTGTTATAATTGTATGTAAATTAATTAATTTACTTACAGGTATCTACGTTAATCCAAAAAATAAACTAGCTCCGCGAGAATTTCATAATCTAGGAATCCGTATTGAAGATGACGTATTGGTTAAAGACGGAGAGCCACTTGTTCTTACACGAAACTGCCCTAAAGAGATATCAGATATCGAATCGTTAGCAAAGTGCAATGACTCGTAATTAAAAATATTTTTGTGATGATATTTATTAATTTGAACAGTTTTTGTTGTCAAATGTTTTATTCATACAGTTGCTTAACAGGTAATAATCTTATGTTGTAAATTTGTATCCAATATAACACTACCAGTAATAATAATAGTATTGTATAAACAATTAAAGCAATTATAAACATTTATTCTAAGTGACATGTAAATTTTTATAAATTATTTTTACATTATTACATTATTTTAGGACTTTTCTGTTTTTATTGTAAAAATACATCAATTATTTATAGGCTTATAATGTAAATTTTCAAATCAAAAATTGAATACTTTTTCGGTTTACTTTTAGTTAATCTACAGCCTCAATTTGAAGACAATGTTTACAACGGAAAATATCTAAAAATATTAGTAATAAATTATTTTATTAAAGATTAAAGTAGTAGAAATTTAATTTTTTAATTTATTACCTGGATAATATAATTAATTGACAATTTTACTGTTTAAAATACAGTTGCTTTAGCGAGCACTATTAATCCAAGACAAAATAAATATTTACTCTTTATAAATTATTTTTATCGGTAACCTCAGCACTTGTTATCATTAAACTCATTAAAATAAATTTTTTACAATCTATTCAAGTCATGAATTCACCGTTTAAAATATTAATATTTTTCATTATTATTATTATTATTATTATTATATAAATATAATTGTTTTTCATAGATTTTTATACTATATAGGGCTAGATAGATTTTTAAAAAACAGTACTCTTATATCTCTTGATAATCATTGATATTTATTATTATTATTGTTATTAACACGAATCATTATAAAGCTCTCTAGAAATAATTATAATCATTTCCAAATATTTATAAAGTAAAAAATAAATTGAAGGTAAGAAAATTATTTACATAATCGTTTATTATTTGTGTATTTTTTGTAGTTGCATACTTGAAGTTTAAAAATTATAAATTCGAGTATAAAAATTATTGAATAGTCAAATCTCTCAACTTCTTGTCAGCGTACTTCAAAGTGACAAAGTTATCAAGTTGTTTTACGCGAAGCCGAGACCAGACAACATGATCATGCAGAGCGTGGATTTGAGCTGCTGCAAGAGCTGCGCTCTCAGGATAACGTACAGTAGTACAGCCCAATCCTGAAATAAAATTTTATAATTAATATTTTGTAAAATTATTAAAAAAAAAAAATATTTTAAAATTATAACAATAATTTTTAAACTTATTACCAGAGGGAACATTTAATGAAGACCAAATATCTTGGTCAACATTATCAGTAGTAACAGGTGGGCAATTGATAACCGGGAATGCAGTGTTGCCTGAAAGTACTGGACCAAGTCCATTGCTCCTACCAGCGACTGCGACCAACACAACCTGTATTGATAAGAATAAAATAATAGTTTACAACTAAAACAAAAAAAAATCGACCTTTGAACTCATTGATTAATTATAAATTAACAAACAAACCTTCTCGCCACTGCCTTCGTACTCAGCGAGGATTCTCATTGTCTCAGCAGTGCCTTTATGAGCACTAGTGACTCTCAATTGCGACTTGAGTCCTAGATCAGCAGCATGCTTAGCGATTTTTTGACAGTGTTCCTTATCTGAAGCCGATCCCATCAAAATAACGAGCATCGGCTTGGTCAGAGGAACAAGATAGTCCAACTGATTAGCTACCCACTCGAAATTACGCTTGACTGTTTGCAAATCCGCATCAGTAACAGTCGTGAGATTTCTGTAGACCTAAAACAATTAAAATTTAAATTAATAAGCTAGATATTTAATCATAATTAATAATCACAAAAATTTGATTGGAAAATAAAAAATACCTGCTTGTCCTTCATCAATCTTTTGTCTCCAGAAGGCCATAGTCTCCAGGAATCGCTGTCGATGATATCAGACACCAAAATTTCTCCTTCAGCATCAATACCGAACTCTATCTTCATGTCTATCAAAGCACAGTCGCGAGTTGCCCAAGCGCGCTCCAGAATTTCAAAGACAGTAAGAGTCATACGCTGCATTATATCGACCTCGTCTTTTCCGATGGTCACTCCGTTTAACTTGAACCCTGCTGATATTATCTGCTGCTCGGACCACTGGGGATCATGGTTGGCGTCATCTTTGAAGAAAGTTTCCTGGAGCGGAGGATTGAAGCGGTAACCTTCTGGTACTCCTGAAATTGTTTAATTTACAAAATTAAATTTGAAAATAATTCATCTTATTATTTATTAATTTAATTTGTCAGTTTTATTATATTACCTGGGTGTCTTTTGAGGAAACTTCCAGTTGCGAGACGTCTGGTGACCCATTCAATCGGTACCATTTCACATTTCTTAGCTACAAAAGCTTTTTCTCCAGTTAACTTGACAAACGCAGTCCTCAGACCAGCTTTGTTCAGCAGTTCAAATACTTTAGCGTTGGTCGCTGTGCTGATAGCTGCTTTGCCTTCGAGAACATGGGATTTTACTCCGTCTCCAGCGGTGATTCTGTCTTTGCTCAACAGCAGACATAGTGATGGTTCATCAGCAAGTTCATATACTTGCTTTGTTTTTCCTTCGATTATCAACTTTCCTGTTTTGTAACCTTATAAGTAATTAAACGTATTAATATTTTACCTCTAATAATTCCAGTAATAAAATTTCCTAGACTATTTATAATAATAAAGTTAGCTGACATCTAAAAATTTTAATAATTTTTTCTTATTAAAAAGATGATGACAAAAAAATTTTTAAAAAATTTCATTCGTAAAAAACTTTAAAAACTAGCAGTCCAATTAAAAAAAAAAAAATATTTTTTTGTTCTAATTTAATTTTTTGATTTTTCTTCATTTATTAAATTAGAAATAAAAAATATTTTTTTTAAATGCCTCTTACAGTTTTTCAAATTTTTTACAAATTAATTTTTTTCTTATATTTTTTTATAATAATTTTTTTAATAAAAAAATAATTATCAAAATTTATAGATGTCGGCTAATTTTAGTATTATAGACTATTTTTTATTTATTTTTTAAATATTTCCTTAAAAAAAAAAAGTGAATAAAATAATTCTAAAAATTTTTTAATTAATTATTGATGAAAAAGAAACTTAAAATTTTTATTAATTTTTTAATTTCAATAATAAGAACTTGATTCATAAAAACAAACAAATTTTTATTAAAAAAAAACTCATCAAGGATGTAATAAAATTTTTTAATTTGGGGTTACTTTAACGGACCTTTAAATCTAAATTTGAAAACTTTCAGCCTAGACTGTACTAACGTACAAAATCTAAACACGTGCTCCTACTTAATATTAAAGAAATCAAATACTATCAACCACATCATAAAAATAAAAAAGCAACATAAAAAAAAAAAAACTGATACTTAAATTATAAAAAATAATTAAAGGCATACCTTCCATGTTATTAGAAGTAAATAAAACGCCGGAAAATTGCTGATTCTAGCAATGGGTCGAGTTCCAAGTACCAAGCATATACTACCCAACTAATACAAAATAACAGTAGTATATTGTACCTCAATCCTCAATATATGTCCCCGCTTTTTCTCGTTCCCTGACCTTCAGCCCCTTCCAATAATCGTATCATAATTATTTCTCCCAAATAATTCCCAATATAATTTTTGTCTATCTCTCTCGTCGCACCATACATACCCATCTCCGATAGCGAATCAAATACTAGATATAATTACCATCAAAAATACCAGCCTATAAATATACAAAAAAAAAGTTCAAATAATTATCACTTTATTTTTTTAAATATTTAAAAATGTGAAGAAATAGCTGATAGCCACATTTTTATCATCAGCTCTTGCAATTCTATTTTTGTATTTAAATGTTTTACTCCAATTAATTTATGAATTATTATTTTCTTCAGATATGCTCCAATATTGCAAGAAATATAATAATCATTAATATTTATTTATAATTTTTTATTAATCAAAATTTGCTGTTGGAGTAAAAAAAAGGAAAGAGCGCAACTTTTAGACATTGGAAAAATTTTTAATAAATTATTTGTAAGTAAAAAAATTTATTATATTTATTGTATATTAAAAGTATATAATATATCTACATATATAGGTACATATGTGGTGTATAAAAAGACAAAGTTTTTAAGTAAAAGACGCTGCCACGCTGCGGCACTATATTACTCATTGCTACGGGGGCTACACCACGCGGTTCTTCGACCAAAAATTCTTTATTTTTCATTATTTCATAAGCATAAGTATTCCCTACAACAAGTTTTGACTATTACAGAAAGGTATTCTGAGACTATACCAATATATACTGCGCATTATTTACCTGTCGGTCTACTGGACTCATCTCACGCACGTGGTAAGAGTTTATAAATATAAAATCTTTAAATTTTATTTTATTGTTTAATTTTTTTACATTAAAAAAAATTTAAGTAACAAAAAATTACAATTATTAATTAATTTTCAAAAATAATAATAATAAATAATAATTATAATTATTTTTTTTTCACCAGAAAACTCGTTCAATTTAAGGTACAGTCACGTTAAAAATTTTTAATATTTCTAATATTTAAAAAATTTAAATAATTATTTAATAATAAAAATTGTTTTGTAAATATGAATATAAATTGTTGATCAACAAGAGTGTTTTATTTATGCAAAATAAAATGATGAAATGTTTGTTATCATAAGATTGTGATAGTTAATTATTGACGTACATCAAAAGTTTATTATTAATATTATTATTATTGTTGTTGTTGTTGTTTAAATATCAGAAGTACGTAGGGGGTCATAAGTTTATAAGACCAATAGAGATAATATTTATGGATTAAAAAAACCATGTCGAAATATTTTCAACATCGGAATATTTTCAAACTTTCTTGATAGTTTTCTTCAACAATAAATAACAAACAAACAAATTATTTTATTTCTCAGGCGTGATCCAAGTAAAAATGTCCTGTGATATTAGAGAAGAAATATCTGGAGCCGAATATTCGATGGCTCGATTGTCTGTGGTGAATTCAGGTGCAAATTGTGCTGATGTTGATACTGACGCAGAAACTCAGATTGCGAAGAAACCTTACGTAAGAAGTAAAGGTGAGACTCGTGGACAAAAATTGTCAGGGTTGACACACGAGTGTGGAGTATTTGGTTGTATTGCTGCAGGTGACTGGCCCTCTCCGATTGATGTTGGTCAAGTTATTTGTCTAGGTATGAAATTTAAAAATTTTTTAAATATTTTATAGCTCAGTTATTAATTATTAATTATTATTATTATTAAATTAATCTTGTAATTGTAGGATTAGTAGCATTACAACACAGAGGGCAAGAAAGTGCTGGGATAGTAACTAGTGAAGGAATCTGCGCCAAGTCATTCCGCGTTCACAAGGGTATGGGAATGATCAATAACATCTTCAACGATGACAGCATGAAGAAACTCGTTGGTAATCTTGGCATAGGTCATACGCGGTACAGTACCAGCGCAGCTAGTGAGGAAGTAAACTGTCAACCTTTTGTTGTCCATACTGCTCATGGAGCTCTGGCTGTTGCTCACAACGGAGAGCTCGTCAACACAGAATCGCTTAGGAAAATGGTTTGATATAATTTTTCATCTACTTCTTGGTAATCAAAATAATTATTAAATTTTTTAATTAAATAATATTGTACTAGGTACTTGGTAGAGGTGTTGGATTATCCACGCATTCAGACTCCGAATTAATAACACAAGCGTTGTGTCTAAATCCTCCAGAAGGTGAAGTAAATGGTCCCGACTGGCCAGCTCGTATAAAACACCTGATGCAATTAGCTCCGTTGTCTTATTCTTTGGTAATTATGCAGAGAGATAAAATTTACGGTGTAAGAGATCCGTATGGCAATCGTCCACTTTGCATTGGGAAAATTGTTCCTGTAGGTAAACTAGGTAAGAATTATTTTTTAGTCACCAAATATGTACTTTATCAACTCAATTATTTAAAAAATAATTTATTTATTTATTCTTACAGCGGGAAATGATTCTGATGACGACGAAGACGCTGATGGCTGGGTAATTTCATCAGAATCATGCGGTTTTTTAAGTATCGGAGCGCGGTTGGTTCGTGAAGTATTTCCTGGTGAAATTGTTGAATTAACTAGAGAAGGAATAAAGACTATTGACATTGTCGAGAGGCCTGATAAGAAAGCTCAGGCGTTTTGTATATTCGAGTATGTTTACTTTGCACGAAGTGACAGTATTTTTGAAGGTAAATAAATTGAAAAATAATTTTTATTAAATACAATAAAAATAATAATAATTATTATTTAACAGGTCAAATGGTGTATTCAGTAAGAATGCAATGTGGTAGAGTCCTAGCAATTGAATCTCCAATAGAAGCAGACATTGTAAGCTCAGTACCTGAATCAGGAACAGCTGCAGCGCATGGATATGCTCTCCAGTCCAAAATTCCCTTCGCTGAAGTGCTTTGCAAAAATAGATACGTCGGGAGAACGTTTATTCAACCTAGCACGCGGTTAAGGCAGCTTGGAGTTGCCAAAAAATTCGGAGCACTCTCAGAGAATTTCAAAGGAAAAAAACTCATTCTTATTGATGATTCAATAGTAAGAGGAAATACTATTGGTCCTATTATAAAACTTCTGCGAGATGCTGGCGCTAAAGAAGTAATTTCTTACCTTTTATTTAAATTTTAAACACTTAAAATTTTTAAATATTAATTGTACTTATGTATTTTTATAATTACTACGTAGGTACACATACGAATCGCATCTCCACCATTGAAATACCCATGCTACATGGGAATAAATATTCCAACTCGTGAAGAGTTGATAGCAAATAGACTAGACAGCATAAAACTTGCGAAGCATGTTGGAGCTGACTCACTGGCGTATTTATCCGTCGACGGACTCGTAGCTGCGGTCAGGAATGGGATGGATAATCGCCACAGCAGTTACGTTGGTCACTGCACTGCTTGTTTGACTGGCGAATATCCAGATGAACTGCCCAGTGACCTTGTCTGGTGAAAGGAACTTAAATTTGAGCCCGGAGCTTTTTATAATTAAATAATAAAAATCAAAATATTTAAATGACAATAAAACATTCCAACTTTTGCAGCGCAGCTAATAATCATCAACTTAAAACTAAAAATAAAAATATTGTTAAAAAAATGAACCAATCCAGAACTTGTAAAATAAAATATGTCTTTGTATTAAATTTATAAATTGTATATAAATTACTTGATATAAAAATGAATCTTTTTTATTACATCTCAGAAATTGTTTTTTCATCTCTGGCTTTTTTCTTCAGCCTATCTGTGATTTCTTTCATCTTAGCCTCACGTTTCTTCTCCTTCTCTGCTTTTTTATCTTCAATAGTATCCTCTAATTTATCCGATGATTCGGAATTGGTTATCTCCTCTTCATTCATGTCAGTATCATCGTTTTCATTATCACCATTTTTATCATTATCATTATCATTAAGGGAGGTGTCTTGATCCATCGATGTTTCGTCACTAGCCAGTAAACAACTAGCCACAATATCATCTGGGTCACGATTTAAAATTTCAGCAGCCTCGCTTTCGTCAATATTATCTTCATTACTCTCGTTGGTACTTTGCTCAGGTTCTCTTGTTGGTACACCTTCACCTTCACCTTCATCACGCGAGAGTGATTCATCATCAGAGTCCGAGTTAGCTTCTAGTTTAGGATTAACCCAAGGAACGCTGTCTTTGGATGTTGATGGTCCTGGGTCAATCACCGTCAGCTCTTGGTTGATCTCTCTGTATTTACTTTTATAATTAGGCTTGGTATTTTTATCATTTGCAATAGTGGTTAGGTCAATTGGAGGATCGTTTGGATTATCAATGTTAAATGCATATGGCATATCATCGTCAGATTCAGAGTTTAATTCAATACCTTGTCGTCGTTTTTCTTCACGTTGTTTTTGCTTTTCTATGAACTCGTCCAATGCGTTCATCCGATCGTTTCTTTTTTCCGTCCATAATTTTAGAGCTGTGCAAAAAATTTTTTATTTCATAAATATGCAATGACAATAATTGCGGGAAAATTTTTTTTTAAGTAAAAATAAACTTAAATTTATTTAAATGTTAATCGGAAAAAATTTTAAAGTTATGAAAAATTCATATTATAAAATAAAAATTATAGGTAATAATAATTGTATAACACCTACAATTTGTTACAAAAAAAATATTATTATCATTATTATTATTCAATTAGTAGGTATATTATTAATAAGGCCGTGATTACCGATTCAGATATTTTTTAGACTCAGTTATTTATTATCTGTTCATACGACGTTTATTATTATTATTATTATTATTATTATTATAATTTTTATTTTATAATAATTTTGATTAATTAATATGAATTTTTTATAACTTTAAAATTTTTTCCGGGTCTATTTTTTTGCGGGATTCATTTAAATAAAAAAATTTGATAATGTCCAATGATATTAAAGTTAGCCGACGTTTTTAATTTTTTGATTTATTTTTTAATAATTAAATTAGAATAAAAAAATATTTTTAAAAAATTGCACTTACAGTTTTTAAAGTTTTTTACAAATGAAATTTTTTTTTCTTTTTTTTTTGTAGTCATTTTTTCAATAAAAAAAATTTTTTTAATTTTTAAATGTCGGCTAACTTAATTTTCATTAATGTCCTTACCATTTTCTTGATAATCAGGTGGAATTCCAAAGTCTTGAATAGTTTTCATATTAGGAAGACAACTTGGATGTTCAGAATTTCCTAAGACTTCAACTCTCTGCTTAACAAAAATTCTTTTCATCTTGAGAACTTTATCAACTTTACCGAAATACTTGATAGTATTTGGCTTGTCAAAAACTGGATCATCAACGACTGCATTAGGGTCTTTCTGGAAGAATAAACTCGTTCCTATATCATCCTCATACGTTCCTTCATAATGCTAAAACAGTAAACATTAAAAATAAATTACTAGCAACCTTGCGGTCACTATGTGACTACCGTGACTTGTGAACTATAAATAAAATTTTGCTTTACTAAAAAATGACTTATTCAACAAAACAACGAATAAAAATTACCTTTCCATTAATCTGCATAATCGGATGCTCCATGTCCAAACCAATCATATCTAATTGGAGTTTTTCATTGCAAAAGATATTAGATTCTGATGGACCTTCAAATTCAACGTAGACTAAAATATCTTCCTCTTCTGTTTCGTCACAAACGTCATCATCATCATCATCATCATCATCATCTTCCATTTCATTTTCATAGGTAACGAATTCTTCTTGATTATTCATTTTAATTTTTTAATTACTGAACAAATTAACATTTATATATAACTATCCGTCACCTGGATGAGTTTTAACCTACAACTTAGCCGACAAAATTGTAAACAAAATTTTCATATGATAGATGATAACACGTGGTGAAATCACATGACTAAGTTTAAGATCTATTTGCGCGCCATTTTGGCTTTATTTATTTTCATGTGAGCGACAGCGCGACACGCCATCATAAAAAAAATAATTCCGCCAAATTCATTTTCAACACTAGCAAATGAGCGCGTGTTTCTTTTCTAATTGAGAGGTTAAGTTTATCATATTAATGGTAAGAATAATAATTAAAAACCACTAAATTTTATTCTATTCATTAATATAATTTATTTATTTCAGTTTGGAAATTTGTGAAGTGTAAAATGGTTCGACATAATAATCAATTGGCTCATAATTTACCTCAACTTCAAAACTTGATAAAACGTGATTCAGAGTCTTATAAAGAAGAGGTAATTTATTATTATTTATAACAATTACAATTATTAACAATTAGTTTTTATTAAACACAAGAATCATTTTTGTTTTTTATTTTTAAAATAATTGTTAAACTAACAGAAAATTTTTCGTATTTTACAATATGCTTATACAAATATTTAATTTTTCTTTTAAAGCAATTAAAAAAATTTTGATTTATAATAATAAAAATAATAATTTTTATTTCAGTTCCTACAACAATACAGCCATTACAAATCAACATTAGAAGTATTCCGCCTGACTCCAAATGAATTCAACAAAAGTCTTGATGAATTGCTTATGTTTTTAGCGCAGGTACAAAAAATTTCAATATTTATTTATCCAATAATCTAAATAATAATATTTACAACACTGAAGTTGACAGACATTATAAATTTTTTAATTATTTTATAGCAATTAAATTATTATTAAAAATTCCACATGTAGAAATTAAAACAAAATTATCAGTGGAAATTTTTAGAAGCATTTTTAATGACAATAAAGTTAGCCGACTTTTAAAAATTTTTAGAATTTTTTTTCATTGAAAAAATCATTAAAAAAAATTTTTTTAGTTTTAATTTAATATTAACTAAACAAAATGAAAAAATAAAAAATCTCAGCTGACTTTATAATTATGCATTTTTAGCATTGCAATTGGTTCATTAAAAGAATTAAAAAAATTTACAGCTGTTTGCTAACTTCAGTATTAACATTTACAAAACTAAAGCCAGTAGACTTGATTATGAAAAAAAAGTATATGAGAAATATTTTCGTTTCTCTTTCAGGTATAAAAAACCCGTAATCAAGGAAACCTACTGATAATAACACACTATTAACAATAATAATAAATAAGACTAATTTAATCATCGTAATTATAAGTTAAAAAAATGGAGGAGTGTCTAAAGTACATGCGTGACAGGATTCTCTGCCGAGACAAAATAATAAGTTCGTTATACTCGCTGATTGGCGAAGGCGATCAACCGATGCCTCAAAGTTTGTTTATATACGGTCACTTGTCAACAGGAAAGTCTCTGCTCGTAGAGAGTCTGCTCAAGCATCTCGCTTACAGACACTCTGTGATAAATTGTATCGAGCATCCTAGTAGCAAAAGTTTGTTCGAGTACATTTTGAATGACATAAAAAATTACGGCAATGAAAAATCACTTGATGATTTTAAAAATAATCTCAAGTGTGACAATCTGATGACTTTTATTGATCATCTTCAGTCAATTCAGTCTGATAGTAACGTCAATAGTCCAATTGTTATAGTACTAGATAAAAGCGAGCGTTTGCGTGAGATGGATTTAAATTTATTGCCGGCATTTTTGCGTCTTAAAGAGCTTACAAAATTAAATATTCTTACAATATTAATTAGTGATATTGTTTGGGACAAGTATTTTATAAAAACAGGAATTCCTGAACCTATAAAAATATTTTTTCCTCAATATACATTCGAGGAGGTCGCTGAAATTTTGTATCTTTACCGACCAGACGACTTCAGAAGCGAGACATTTTACAAAAATTACATAAACTTATTCTTGTCTGTATTTTTCCGTTTCTGTCGGGACATTAATGAGCTTCGCTACATGTCAATGCTTAATTTTAATAAATACGTCGAGCCGATAACTCTAGGCCAGTGTAAAGAAAACGACGTAACAACTCTCTGGCGTAATATCTCGAGCACACTCAAAGCTAACTTAGAAGTTATTTATCTCCGGGTATCTACGGATGATTTTACTGAACGTACTCAACTCTCGCAAGAAATAGAGTCGACTACTAAGCTAGCTTTGAGTTTCGAGCTGCCGTTCTACGCAAAATTCATGCTCATCGCTGCTTATTTAGCTTCTTATAATCCTCCTAAGGAGGACAAGCGTTTATTTGTTAAAGCTAGTAATAAGAAAAAGAAACGTCCTACTATTAATAAAAAGAAACGCATTGCTATGTTCACCCACACTGGCCCGAGAACTTTTCCTCTTGATCGGATGCTTGCTATTTTTTGCGCTATTTCTGAGGAAAAAATAGATATTAATGCTAATTTACTCGCTCAAATACCGACTATGTGTCAGTTAGGTTTGTTAGCTGCTGTAGGGGATAATAATTTGGATGAACAGAAATTTAAATGTTGCGTTAATCTTGATTTTGTCACTGTTATTTCGAAGAAAGTTGGGTTTAATATTAGAAATTATTTGTATGATTTCATTCATTAATTTATTTTTATTTATAATTCCTTTTTAATAAACATTTTGTATCAAATTAAGTTTATTATTTTTATTATTAGTTTTGATAAAATAAATAAGTATAACTAGCAACCTTGCAGTCACTATGTGGCTGCAATGAAATATAAATAAATAAAATTTTGCTTCATTAAATGATGATTTTTGTTAAAAAGCACTGTACTTTTTTAACTATTGATGTTTTTTAAGATATAAGCTCATCCACGATGTTACACTCATCAAAAGCTTTCATTTGAGTACCCACATGCATTTTTGATATATTTTTCATATATACATATATATATAATATATATAAATATGTGAAAAATTGATGTGGGTACTCAAATGAAAGGTCTTAATGAGTGTAACATCAGGATGAGCTTATATCTTAAAAAACGTCAGTAGGTGATAAAATACAAATTTATTTCTTAATTATTGATATTTTTTAAGATGTAAGCTCATCCTGATGTTACATTCATCAAGAGCTTTCATTTGAGTACCCACATGCATTTTCATATATTTTTCATATATACATATATATATAATTTAAATAAATATATAAAAAAAATGATGTGGGTACTCAAATGAAAGGTCTCGATGAGTATAACATCGGGATGAGCTTATATCTTTAAAAATGCCAATAGTTCACAAGATACAGTCATTTCTTAATTAATGATTTTTTTTTAATATGTAAGCTCATCCCGATGTTACACATTATAATATGTAAATTTTTATTATTATAATAAGTATAAAATTACATTTAATAAAAGGTAATTATTTTATTTAGGTCTCTCATTGTTATACAGCTGAATTGGTTTCATATCCACAAGAACTAGTGGATATTCTCAAAACTCATGCTACAATACTTGATTCTGACATTCGTATGGTAAATTAAATTATACATTATTCTTATTATTATTTTTATTAAAATTTAAATACTAAAAAATTTTTTTAAACTTCTAGACATTATGCAAGGCATTAATACTCTTAAGAAACAAAAATTTACTAACACCTACAGCACTACTGAGTTTGTTCTTCGAGTTGCTAAGATGCGAGGACAAAAATCTCCGAGAATTTCTCCAAAATCACATAATATCAGACATAAAAAACCTAAATAGCAAGCACAAAAACTCAAAAGTAAACACTGTTTTGCAGAACTTCATGTTCAATGCATTAAAAGATTCAAATGCTCGTGCAGCTAAAATGTCTGCAGACATAATGATTGAGCTGTACAAGAAGAATATTTGGAACGACGCTAAAACAGTAAATGTTTTAGTAACAGGATGTTTTTCAAAAATAACCAAAGTAATGGTGACTTGCTTGAAGTTCTTCTTGGGATCTGACCCAGATGGGAAAGAAGAGAACAGCAGCGACAGTGAAGATGATACTCCGGACTTGAAAGGAGTTATAATGGCCAATAAGGTCAATAAGAAAACTAAGAAACGTGAGAAGCAGCTGAAGAAAGCCAAGCAATTGTTTGCTAAATCGAAGAATAAGAAGTCTAAAGCGCCACAATTTAATTTCTCAGCTCTTCATTTGATCCATGACCCGCAAGGTTTCGCAGAGAAGCTTTTTGTGCGTCTGAAAAAAAATAATGATCGGTTTGAAGTAAAGCTGATGACTGTAGAGGTGATTTCCCGAATGATAGGTCTTCACAAGCTGTTTTTGCTTAATTTTTACCCATATTTAGCAAACTTCTTGCAACCTCATCAACGAGAGGTCACAAAGTTACTCCAGTGTCTTGCTCAAGCTTCACATGAGTTGGTACCACCGGATGTAATGGAGCCTGCTGTAAAAAAAGTGATACACTTTTTTGTAAATGATTCTAATTCTAGCGACGTTATTGCTATTGGATTGAACGCAGTTCGCGAGATCTGCTCTCGGTGTCCTCTTGTGATGAGCGAAGACATGCTCCAAGATTTGGCGATGTACAAAAATCACAGGATGAAGAGTGTTATGATGGCTGCGAGGTCGCTCATTTCACTGTTTAGGGTCACGATGCCAGAGTTGTTGCACAAAAGGGATCGTGGAAAGCCTACGGAAGCTACTGTTGCTTTGGAACCTCTTCAGTATGGGCAGGTTGATGCTAAAGACTTTGTTCCAGGTGCTGAAATTCTTTTGAATCCGGCTAAGGAGCACAGTGATGATAGTGACTTTAGCGATGATGATGATGAAGATGATGATAGTGAGGGAGAGTGGGTGGATGTTAGTCATGATGAAGATGATGATGTTGGTGATGATGATGATGATGATGATGATGATGGTGAAAGTGAGGAAGATGATGATGATGATGATGATGATGATAGTGAAGCTAGTGAAGAAGATGATGAGGAAAAAAATAATGAAAAAAAATCAGTAAAGAATAATACTGAAGAAAAATCTTTAGTTACTAACAAAGATAGTGGGCCCAAGAGAAGAAAAATAGAAAAACCTAAAAAAAGAACGAAACTAGATAGAAAAAGAGATAAACAAGAAAGACTTGCTAGAATGAAGAAAGCTAAAAAAGAAGAATTTACGGCTGAAAAAAAAGAAAAAGCTGCGCAGATTTCTCTTGAAAAAATATTGACTGATGAAGATTTCAAAAGGATTGATGCAGCTTTGATCAAGCAGCAAGTAACTGCTGCCAAGCGGGGAACTAAAAGACCTTTAGTTGAAGAACCTAAGGGTGAATTAGTCAAGCTTGGGGATATTGAAAATATTTACAAAAAACGGAAGCATGATAAACAAGCTAGGATTGATAGTATTAAGGTATTTTTTTTAATTACTGACGCTGTATAAGACTACACTGAAAAAAAAAATTCTTGAACCAAGAGAATAATTTTGAAGAGTTTCAATGTCTTGAACCACACGGAAAGAACAAGATTACACTGGATAACATTCCAGATTATACTCAGTGATTTTTTTTAGCGCCTACAGGTGAAGTGCTGTTTACAATCTGGGAATTATACCAGCTATTTGAAATTTTTTTTCACTACAGATGTCACTGAGTATAATCTGGAATGTTATCTAGTGTAATCTTGTTCTTTCCGTGCAAGACAAAAAATTCTTCAAGTAAAATTTCTCAGTTTAAGAATTTTTATACACAAATCAAGAAGCTGACTTTCTTTAAAATTATTTTTTTGATTCAATTTTTTTTTCTGTGTAAGTACAAGTGTTTTATTGAATTTTTTTTTGTTTAACAGGAAGGAAGATCGGACAGAGAGAAATTCGGGTACAAAGACGGTCGTCAAAATCCGCTTTGTAGTAAGACGAATCGCGAGAAGAAGAAGACAAAGGCTTTCCAGATGATCAAGCACAAGATGAGAGGTAAAGTTAAGCGGTCCTTCAAAGATAAGCAAGCGGCGTTGAGGAACCACTTGATTCATCAGAAGAAAATGAAATAAATATATATTTTTATGTAAAGATATATAACAAATAAATGAAGATATTTATACACTATAATGGGTTTTTTATTTAATTGTTGATTGATATGTACAGTTTTTGAGTTAAAAGTATTTATAATATCTGATGAGTAAGAAGACTATTTATAGATGAAGTTTAATGAGTTATTGATAACCTGACATTCATGATACCTAAACCTCTTTCTAATTGGATTAATGGCAAATTAAAAGCTCGAGGCATGTAATTCTGGAATTAGCTTCATTCAATAACTTCTACTATCTCTCCACTGCCACGTTCGAGGTGCCGAAACATCAACTTCATACTCGACGCATTTTTCTTTGATAAAACTATGGTTATAAATAGATAATTAATTATTTATATTATTCAACATTTAAATTATTTATAATTTAGATAAATGATAATTTTAATTACCCTTCATATTGGACGCATCTTTCGATCGGATAGTCATATGTAAAGCAAGGCATCGCTAGAATATTGAAGTAATTTTTACCTATTTTATATGATATCAAATTTGACGAGCTTTTTAAACAATTATAAAATCTTTCCTCGCAGTCGCAATGTGAGCTATTGTTTAAGAATAATTTATTAATTTGATTATAATGATTGAAAGAATTTTTTTCTAGAGAAAGGACATACGCAGTGGTTGATGCATCGTTATATAAAGGTAGAGAAACGCCAATAAAAAATGTTTGACCGGGAGCTAGATTTAGAGGACAGTGATCGTGTTCTCGGCAGCAAGTATCAGTATCTTGAAATAGACCCAAATCTTCGTCACTGTCGGCCGCAGAACCAGCCCCGCACCACAATGTTCCTTTTTAAAAAGCGATTAATTTATTAATACTTATATTAGTATAATTACTTGTCCTTTAAATATACTCAATTTAACAGACATTAAAAATCTTTTAGATTTTTATAACAAATTTAAAAAAATTAAAAGTCAATTTTTAAAAAAATTTTTTATGATTTTGGCTGCTCAATTTTAAAACACTAGCTGCAAAATTTTTATACCTGATTTTTTTTAGTATTGCTGCATTTTTTATAACTTTTAGACCTGAATTTAAAGTATTTTTTTTTTTTTAATATTTATATTCAGGTATTTTCTATTCATAAATCAAATTTTTTATCAATTTAGCGCGCAAGCTTTTTTTTAATAAGAAAAATTTTTTTAAATCTTAAAATTGTCAAAAAATTCTAATTGTTAAATATCTGCTAGTTTCAGTATCATTAATTTTATTATTTTTTTCTTTTTACCAGGAAAAATCCCGTGAAATGGTGATATGAATATCGAACGCATTTTTTTTAGAAAACCAGAACCTTCAGTAATAGTAAATTCTTGAAAGGCAATTGCCAATATTAGAGCTAAAATTTTTAGATTGAAAATCTATAAATAAATAAAAAAAAATTTTTAAATTTAGTATTAATAAGAAAAACATTTTTTTTTTAATAAAAACTTGCCATTCTTTTTATTAAACCAAATTCCGAACAAAAAGATAACGATAATCAACTTTTGATTACAAGAAGGAATTCCTACGAAGTAAAAATAATGACTGAGCTCATTTTTTTTTAATTTCAAGTATTTATGAGAATTATAACTTCTTTGTTGTGTCAATCAAATGAACATATTTTTAATAGTTCGATGAATTATTATTTTTTTTTTACTATTTTTTAACGATACATTAATGTTGACATTAACATTGAATTTACTTTTTGAAAGTATTGAGAGCATGTTTTTCGCTGCTTAGTACATTTATGGAATATTGAATATTCAACAATTTATTAATAAAATAAAATCAAACTTAGACGACCGGCTTATAAAGGAATTAATTGTAATAAAAAAAAAAAAAAAAATTTGAAATAAATTTTTTTTTTTTGCCAAGCTTACATAGTTTTATTAATTAAATAATAAAATTTTTTTTACTATTGTCAATAATGAGTAATCATTAATAAAAAATATATTAGTACATAAATTGAAGTATTAAAAATTATGTTTTTTAAAAAATAATCTTAAGATATAAAATAATTAGTCAATTTTTAAAATAAAATTTGAAAAATAAAATAATCATAAAATTAATAGAAGATATCGACGGTACTTAGGTAAAACCTTTCATTTAAAATACATAGAAGATACGTGTAGTTTTACCAAAGTACGTCGATACAGTTAATTATCAATATAACAATTAAGTTAATTAATAATTGATTAGATATTTTAAAAATTCAACCAAAGAAGCTAATAAGCAATGTCAAATTAACAAATAATTAAAATCACGCTTGTTTAAATATAAATAAACCTATCTCTAGCTTTCAATCACCATGTTGTTAATTATTCAATTATTAATCATAATTTCTTACACATTACCTTTCATGATTATGAAAATTATATTATTTAATTTAATGATCTATAATATCGTATGATCGATTACACTGACCTATATTTGTGATAGCCATTAAATATGTTAGTAAAAAAATTATAAAAGCTCTAACAATGATTGTAGATAAATAAATAGCCGAAGTAATTAGATACGCATGACGCGTATAAATTGATAATAAAAACTGAGTACAGTTCTATTCAATCACAATTTAATTAATGTCCTATAAATTTTTATATAAATTTAATCTCGTGAGATCCGAATGTCGTTTATGCGATATTATTATTGAATATAGTTAAAATTCCTATAACTATTCATTAAATGGAAGATAAATTATCAGACCTGCAAATTGCTGCTTATTTTGTTATAAACATAAAAATTATTTTTTTAAAAATGCTGATGCTAATTGTAAGGAAGTAATTTTTCTATTATAAATTTTTCATTGCTGACTAAGTCGTAGTTATAATTATAATAATAATAATAATAATAATAACGATGAATTATTTGACTTTATTTAAAAAAAAAAGTGTCTTAAATTAATTATCATCAACATCGTCATCGTCATCAGAAATATACTTCTTCGTTATTCTTTTACGCCTGCTACCCGATCTGCTCTCACTTTTCCGACTTTTCAATTTGATCTTCATCCTTACGCTAGAGTCACCGTCAGATCCATCATCGCACTCGCCTGGAGACGAGTTATTTCCTGTAATCAAAAATTTTCTTTAAACATCCGAATGCATTCAATACTAAAATGAAATTGAATGAAAAAAATACAAACCATCATCAGACATTGAACCCTCAGCTTCGAGTCTCTGTCTCGCATTTGTAAAAACAGATCCTAAAACAATCGAATCTTCGTGAATTGGCGAGGCTTCTTCGTTGTAAATTTGAGCATTTTTACACAGTTGCATAAAATCTTTCTCCAGTTCATCAACACTTGAATACTGAAAATTTAACAATGAAAAAAATATTGATCAAATGTCATTGCAAAGGTCTTGATTTGAATTTGTGCCTTTCCAAGGTTCTATTTAGGCTGCATTCGAAAATGCTCTATCTCTAGATACATAATTAACAAATGACCTTTTATCTTGTGAAATATCGACATTTTTAAAGATATAAGCTCATCCCGATGTTACACTCATCAAGACCTTTCATTTGAGTACCCACATCAATTTTTCATATATTTTATATATTTATATATATTATATATATGTATATATGAAAAATATATCAAAAATGCATGTGGGTACTCAAATGAAAGCTCTTGATGAGTGTAACATTGGGATGAGTTTATATTTTTAAAAACGTCAATAGATAAAAAAGTACAGTGCAATTTAACAAAATCCATTATTTAATAAAGAATAATATTAGGAAGAAAAGACACTCACCTTGCTTTCATCGATATTTTTTAACAACTTATTAATGGTCAGTGGCTTTTTAATAACATCATAGTAGTCAGGCAATTCCCGCCGAGAAGGTAATGTCATAAAAGGCTCACTAAGCAATCTACCATCAGTGCTGTCGGTATAATTAACAACAACCATCAGTAATTTCTTCATAGCCCTACGTAATTTCGAATCAACAGACGGACCAGCACCACTACCACTACTACCACCTCGACGTTTTTTTGGAGTTGGTTCTTCATCTTCTTCTCCTCTCTTGCGACGCTTTCGTGTTTTTTTCTTCTTCCTATCGTCTTCCTCCTCGTCATCATACTCAACGCCATCATCGTCGATGGCTTTCAACCACTCTTTTCCGATTAAATTATTGTCTGTGTAGTCGATTTCCTTACGCTGTCGAGAACCACGTCCAAGATATCGTTCATCATCTTCTTCATAAGTCAAGCGTTCGACTTCTTCGTCGTTTTTAATCAACCAGTCAGGTAACTCAATTTCTTCCAGTAATCGAGGTTTTCGATTAGGACCTAATTTAGCTTCTTCACGTCGTCTTTCAAGATCTAGCTTTGCAAAGATCTCAATTTCACCTTCTGATCTAGCGATCATGGGATTAACTGTTTCATCATCAGCCACTTCGTTTTCTTCTTCGTCATCAGCGTCATCTTGATGCAATATACTCTGCAAGAATTGCTGTCTTTCACTTCCTGTTGATTTTTGGTCAAACATACCAGCCTGAATAACTTTTTCATCCATATTCAACTTGTAACGCGCAGCAGCCAATATTCTCTCTTCGACTGAGTTAACAGTGATCAAACGTAGTACTCTGACTTCATTCTTTTGGCCAATACGATGAGCACGATCCTGGGCTTGCAAATCTTGGTGAGGATTCCAGTCAGAATCGAATATAATTACTGTATCAGCGGCTTGTAAATTTAGACCCAAACCTCCAGCACGAGTTGACAGTAAAAATAAGAAATATTGTGAGCCAGGATCGTTGAATTTTTTCAACAAGTCTCCACGATCTTCGGCTTTAGTTGTACCGTCTAAACGTAAATACATAAAACCACGCCAGCCTAAATAGTCTTCCATTATCGTCATCAACTGTGTCATTTGACAAAACAGCAATACTCGATGGTTAGTTGCCTTCAATTTTGGTAATATACGATCTAACAACTCAAACTTACCCGATGCTCGATATAAATCTGGACCTGATACTGTATGTGAATCCTGAACGCCTATATGTTCACAATATTTTTCCTCAATTGTTCGGAACAAGAATGGATGATTACATAATTTACGCAATTGTACAATAGTATTCATGAGTGCTTTCGCACCACCTTTTCCTTGTTTTCCTTTCTCTGAACCATCAGTCAACAGTACGCCTTTGCTCTGCATATGCTTGTATAATACTTTCTGCAAACCAGACATGTCACACTTGATAATATACTCAACTTTGTCAGGTAACTGAGATTCGACTTCTTTTTTCAAACGTCTTAGCAAGAAAGGTCGCAGTACTTTATGAAGACGGCGGATGATAAGAATTGTTTCTTCTTCATTCAACTCAACTTTTTCTCCGGTAGTAGCGAACGGTGCATTGAACCATTGCTCAAACGTACTAACAGATTTGAAAATTGAGGGTAGCAAAAAGTTCAGGAGCGCCCAAAGCTCAGGTAATTTGTTTTGCAAAGGAGTACCGGTCAATAATAACCGATGTGGCGCTATATAACGTGTATTTAATACTTGTGTTAATTTACAATGATGATTCTTCATTCTGTGACCTTCATCAATGATCATGTACTTCCACTGTAGCTTAGCCAGCACGCTTTTGTCCTTGATAACGTATTCATAGGTGGTCAAAAGTACATTGAACTTGGTAGACCGCATCTGAGATTGTATCGCGCGTCGTCCCGCCGGCGAACCTTTGTAGGAAACAACAACGACACTTGGAGCCCACTTTTCGAACTCAAGAACCCAATTAGATAGTGTTGACAATGGAACGATGATTAAAAACGGTCCATTGACCTTCTTCTTCTCCATAAGATGAGTTACGAGCGCAATAGTTTGTATTGTCTTGCCGAGACCCATTTCGTCAGCTAAAATACCATTGAGATTATTGTTAAACAATGACACCAACCACTCGAGACCTTTTATCTGATACTCTTTGAGTACTCCATTAACCATAATAGAGGCTTGTTCAGTAACAGTTTCATGCACTGTATGTGCAATACTGTAATAAGTCTGCTCTTCAGTTTTATACTCATCATCCTCGACTTTAGCTTTATTTAATTTTTTCGTATCATTATTACCAGAGTCACCAGTCTTATCAGAAGCAGCTGCCGACTCGCTGGTTTTAGCTTTTTGTTCAGATACATTTTCCTCTTCTTCCTCTTCATCTTCGCTATCAGATTCAATAACTTCCCAACCCGGGTGAGACTCCATAAAAGCATTTAATTGACTCATCAGCGGTGCGTCTTCCCCAGTCAATGTACGTCCAGTGCTTACTTCAATAACACGAACCCGTGTATCCTCAGCCGGAGTACCATCTTCATTAACCGGAACACCATCCTCCAACTTTTTCTTCTTCTTCTTGCGTTTCTGCTCTTCAACTTGCTTCCGTTTCTGCTCCATTTTGTGCTGCTTGACCATTTCAGTTAGATTACTAATATACTCATCAGTTTGTGACAACAAGAATGCCAACCGTTTGTCTTTTTTCTGATCAATAAGCTTACGATATCCTTCTTCGTCTTCAGCCATCAAACGACGCATACGTTCTTTCTCAATACGCTCTTGTTCCTTCTTCTGTTCACGCTCAGCATTCGCGTGATAATTCATCACTGCTTTGTTCAATCGTGACAATTTAGCAACATTATTACGATGAAATTCTTTGAAATCTTTGCTGTGTTGCAAAACAGAGGTCAAAAATTCTTGATGCTTCAAACGGCGTTTGCGTTCTGCTTCAAGTTTCTGTTGTTTTTCCAAGTTTTCAGTAGCACGAGCTTCACGTAATCCTTGATGTTTAGTACGTTTGTAAGCTTTGAAATTAACCGCTGTCTCAAGAGTCGTATCCTTACGAGTAGATGCTAATATTTCAGAACAAAGTTGACGTCGTAAATGAAGTACACGCAGCATTCTTAACTCTATTTGAGCTTTAATTCGTAAATCCTCTGGCATATTAGTAGGCAAATTGCTCAGTTGTTCTATACGGAGCGCAATACGAGCAGCAACACGATTCTCTCGCTCTTGTAAAATAAGTAGAGGATCAATCCCAACAGGTTTTGGAATACTCGTTACTCTATTAATTTTATTTCCTGGTTGTTGATGTTGGTGTTGATGTTGCTGATGCTGATGTTGATGCTGTTGTTGTTGCTGTTGCTGCTGTTGTTGCTGTTGCTGTTGCTGTTGCTGTTGCTGTTGTTGCTGTTGTTGTTGCTGTTGCTGCTGTTGTTGCTGCTGCTGCTGCTGCTGTTGTTGCTGTTGTTGTGACGGCTGAGGCCCAGGTCGAGGAGGTCCATTGGGAGTTGGTCCAACATTACTGGGCATTCCAGCGTGAATTGGAGGACCAGCAGGAGTGCCAGGGCCCTGAGATGGATCCATTGGTCGACTCATACCCGGTGGTGGAGCTGCTCCTTGAACTGCCAGAGCCAGTTGCTGAGAAAGCGGCTGATTCCGCGCCAGCAAACGATAAGCCATTATTTGAACGCGAAGCTGTTGGAGTTGTTGAGAGCTGAAGTTTTGCTTATCCCCCATTCCACTTTGACCTCGAGCACGAAGACCTAGTAATTGTGAGTACCGAGGGTCTTCTTGGAGACCTTTTTCTTCCATTGAGTCGATGGCTTTTTGCAGAGCATTGAGATTTTCTTGTCCAGTTCCAGAGCCACCAGGTGGACCACCAGGAGCCGGAGGCATTGAATTACCTGGTCCTCCAGGTCCCATTGGCCCCAGCGACTGATTTTGAGCTCCTGGCGGCATCGGACCTATTCCTGGAGGTCCTGGCGGTCCACCAGGTCCACCTGGGCCTCCAGAATTATTAGCGCTCATCGGTGAGGGTCCTCCAGGTCCCATTTGATTCGCAGGTCCACCTGGAGGCATCTGATTGGGTCCCGACCCAGGCATCATCGGTCCGCCAGGTCCCATTTGGTTTCCAGGTCCAGAATTAGGACCCATTGGCCCAGCTGGACCTGGTCCAGAAGCATTGGGACCTCCCATATTCATAAGAACACTTGGACCACCAGGTCTCATGTTCATTTGACTCCCTGGACCACTCATATTCATCTGGGAGTGTCCATTAGCACCGTGACTTTGACCTGGCGGACACATATTGGGTGGACCACCTGGGCCCATCGATGGACCACCAGGCATAGGACCCGGAGGACCACCAGGCATTGATGGATTCATGTGTCCTGGGCCTGGTGGCATCGGTCCAGGCCCAGATCCCATGTGGCCCGGTCCTGAGTTCATATGTCCTGGAGGTGGAGGCCCTGACATATGCCCTGGCCCACTGGGCATGTGATTACTGGGACCTCCTGGACCCATCTGCCCTCCAGGTCCTCCTTGCATGTGTAACGGACCTGGTGGACCTCCTGGCTGACCCATGTGACCTGGACCCATCTGTCCTCCCGGTCCCATTTGATTTGGGCCTAAAAAAATTATTTCAAGTCACACAATTGCTATTTTTTATTAGTCCTTAATTTTTAATGATTAATTATTATGTATTATTAGTCTTCACCTCCTGGGCCCATTTGATTAGGTCCTCCAGGTCCCATTTGATTTGGCCCAGGTCCCATTTGGTTCGGCCCTCCCGGTCCCATGGCCCGAGAACCACCTGGAAACATTGGACCTGGCCCACCTTCTGAATCCATTTGATTCAAACCTCCAGGTCCCATTTGGTTAGGCCCAGGACCCATATGGGAAGGACCACGCGGACCACCCATTTGATTTGGCCCCATATGACCTGAATTTGGAGGTCCTGACATCTGTCCTTGCATCATGGGTCCTCCAGGACCCTGAGACCCTGGTGGAGGTTCCATAGGACCCTATAAAATATAATAACAATTAACATTTCAATAATTAAACATTATTACATCATTTAAATGAAAAAAATTTCCAGATAAGATAAAAAGAAACATTGTAAATTATATAAATACATGTGTGTAGTTAAATAACTATTACAATCTAACATTATTTTTTTCTCCCCACTACTAGAATTGCGACTTGAGAAATATTTACTCTCACAGCCTGCAATACTGTCTAGAACTTGACGTAAACAATAAGCAGTCTTTGCCCTTGAGTTGTTGGTTAAACATCAATTTAATTCTAGTGATTTTAATAAATTGTAAAAAGTTTAATAATTTTATTCAAAATGGCAAAACATGATGAAGACTTTTACTACAACTTTGCTCTGAAATTGGCCCTAGAAGCTGGACACGTAAATTTTTTTTTTTATCCAATAATAATATTAATAATTGTTTATTGTTTATACTTAAGGTTAATTATTAAATTAATAATAATGTTAAAAGTTACAATATTAGATAATTTATTTTCAAGGTATTGAAAGGCGTAACCTTTGCTAGGAAAACAGTGACGCAAAAACTAGGCAACTGGGATCTTGTCACAGAGTATGATCGCAAAATAGAGGATATTATTATTGGGAAATTGAAGCAGCAATTTCCTGAGCATAAGTAATTTACTGAAATTTTATAAGTTATTCTATTAGATTTATTTGAGCTATTTGAAATTTTATTTTTTAGATTTATTGGTGAAGAATCAACGGGCAAAGATTTACCAGAGCTAACAGACGACCCGACATGGATAATTGATCCAATAGACGGAACAACTAATTTCATCCATAACTTTCCTCAAATCTGTGTCGTAATTGGTCTGTCAATTTGTAAAGAAATGAGAATTGGTATTGTTTATAATCCAGTTCTTGAACAATTATTTACTGCGAGAAAAGGAAGAGGTTCTTTTTTAAATGGACATCCATTAAAAACGTCTACTGTGGATGGTAATTTTAATATCAAAATTTTTTAGAGCAGAAATATTGATAATTTAAAAAATATTCTAGATATTTCAAAAGCGCTAATTGCGATTGAACCGGAATTCATGAAAGTCGAGAGCTTGAGAGACAAAATGATTGAAAGAGTAAAAACACTTGCAATTAAAACTCAAGGGTATGAAATACTAGAGTAAATTTTTTTGTTGATAAATAAAGAATATATAAAAATAATTAATTATATATTTTAGAATAAGAACAATCGGCAGCGCAGCGATAACATTGTGCCACATAGCGATGGGAGCCATCGAAGGTTATCAGATAGAAGGACCAGGAATCTCAACTTGGGACATTGCAGCAGCTTCTTTGATCATCACCGAAGCTGGCGGAATTGTTATAGACCGAGTGACTGGTAATTACTTTTATCTTGATACTATAATAAGTAATATTCAGCGAAGCAAAGAATGAAATCCTTGATAAAAAAAATTCTCAATTGTAAACTAGCGAAGCTATTGTCTTATCAACACATTCTTATCAATTAATTTTAATTCTTTTTCCAGGGAACGATGTGGATATAATGAATCCACGGGCTATCGGCGCTTGCAGTATAACAATCGCTCGAGATCTAAAGAAAATGATCAACGATGCTGACCGTCAAGTAGAGCTCTATCAAAAATAATTTTCTATATAATTTATACTTGAATTAAAAATAAAAGGAATCAGTTTAATAACTATCTAATAGTTAATGATAAATTACCTGGAAAATTCTAAAAATTATGCGTACATTTTTTTAAAAATATTTTTGGTTTTAATTTAATTAATTAAAAAAATAAAAAATTATTGAATGTCGGCTAATTTTAGTATCATGGGTAAAACTATAAATCATACCTAGATAGAGATAAAATTAGCTGAAAAAATAATCAAATTAATAATTATCTAAAAATGCAGGGAACGATGTGGATATAATGAATCCACGAGCTATTGGTGCTTGCAATAAAACAATCGTTCAAGATCTTAGGAAAATGATCAACGATGCTGACCGTCAAGTAGAGCTCCATAAAAACTAATTTTCTATATAATTTATACTTGAATTAAAAATAAAAATCGCTGTAAAAATAATCAGATGAATAGTTATTTAATAGTTGATGATAAATTACCTGGGGTCCCATGTTAGGAGGCATTTGATGCGGATGTGGTGGATAATTTTGCTGCTGAGACGGCGGTTGAGGCGGTTGCGACATAGGCGGTCCACCAGGTCCAGGTCCCGGGCCAGGAGGTGGAGGAGGACCACCAGGATATCCTTGAGTCGGACTGTGAGGATGATGTTGCGGAGGTCCCATCGGACTTCCCTGTGGGTTTGACGGCGACGGAGCTTGTGGCGGGCCCATTGGACTCGGAGCTTGCGGTGGTGGCATAGGAGATGACGATGGCGATGGACTTGCCATATTATTACGATCAGCCTCCAGTGTAGTTATCGATAAATTCCTGATATAAATTATCTATCATTAATGTTATTTCCAATTAATTATAAACACTCATTTACATAATTCTAGTCTTCATTCTCTAGCTCTGGACTTTTTATAAAAAAAAAATGTCTAACCCCATGATATAATTTTAATAGCAATTATTTTACTATTTTATTATTGAACTCACCGTTTTGATTGTTACACTGATTTTAAAAGCAATAATATCAATTTATTTCACTTATTTAATAATCAATTTTGACATTTACCTTTTTGTTAAAGAACGCTTGTCATAAACTACGAAACAATTTTTATTTGACCTCGCAGCTTCGCTTTCTCAACCCAACAGCGTTGCCTATCATTTTAGATTTTTTTTAAATCACTTTTATTTCAGAGGGTTATTTTCAAATTTTCTTTTATTTTCCGGTAAACAAATTTTCACTGTACAACAATTGAACATATTCCATCTGTAATTACCTATATACACATATTTTAATAACAATCAATTAATTTATAAACAATTAAACTCAATTTTAACTGTCAATTATTTTTAAGATCACTTTTGTTAATTCAACTACTTTTTTTTTTATTTATTTCTTTTTTAAAATTAATTCATGAATTTTTAATCAATTATTTAAACACAAATAAATTTAAAAGTACCCATAATTGCTTGCAATTATCGACTTTTTTCTGTCACAAGTCATAAGTCATGTATCACCAGCGAATTTAGCGAATCAGTTCCGCCATCTGCCAACAATAATAATAAACTCTTCACTAAAAAAAAACACTTTTTATAAATTACAGTTGGCTACTTTACCAGAAACTTTGATACAAAGCTGTCAGAGTTCTTTTTAATCTTTGGAGAGACCTTATTGGTATGTAATTTTTTAGATTACAGACGGAATTTATTTTTCATAACGTGATCTATTTATTATAAATATAGAAATTATGTCCATGTGCTTAATTAATTATCCATCTATTTATTGTGATAAATATTTTTACAAAATAGCGCGTTTATTCACAATATTCTAGCGCTAAACTTTCGAGTCATATTTTGAGGTTATTTACCTTCGGTTCACGTTGTCAAGATTGTGTATGGTTGTGCAATTTGTTAGTTAAGAAAAAGTATACTAAAAATATATTTTTTTATTTCAGGAAATAAACAATGGGTCGTGTAATTCGTGCTCAAAGAAAAGGAGCGGGATCCGTATTCAAATCCCACACCAAGAAAAGGAAGGGAGCCCCAAAACTCCGTTCTTTAGATTTTGCCGAAAGGCATGGATACATCAAGGGTGTCGTGAAGGTATTATTAAATTAAAATTCCAGCTTTTTTAAATTAAAATTCAATTGTTTATGATGATTTCTATTATCCTATCTCTGAAAGGTTTTGAAGATCATTTAGAGGCTCTTTCTGATGTGACAATTGTTTAAATAAACATTGACTCTTTATTTGACAGTTTTATTATTTGATTATTGATGTTGAATTTTTATTCTGGTAGGAAATTCTCCACGACCCTGGTAGAGGAGCTCCATTGGCTTGGGTGCATTTCAGAGATCCCTACAAGTTCAAGACCAGGAAAGAACTGTTCATTGCCCCTGAGGGCATGTACACTGGCCAGTTTGTATATTGTGGGAAAAAAGGTAATAAATTTTAATCAAACTTTAAACAAAGATTAAAAAAATGATACTGAAATCAGCAGACATTTAAATATTTAAAAAAATTTTTATTATTAATTAAATTATAACTAAAATATTTTTAAAAAATTACACTTTTAATTTCTCAAATTTTCTGCATCTGAAATTTTTATTTTTTTGTAATAATTTTTTTAATAAGAAAAATCCTAAAAATTGTCTGATGTCTGCTTATTTAATTTTCATTTATAAAATATAAAAACCCACACAATGATTGTGAGTTAGCATTAAAATGCATTTAATAACAGCGACACTCCAAATTGGAAATGTGATGCCCGTTGGAACCATGCCTGAGGGTACAATCGTTTGCAATCTGGAGGAGAAGACCGGAGACCGTGGCCGACTTGCCCGGGCATCGGGTAATTATGCTACTGTCATCGCCCACAATCCCGACAGCAAAAAAACCCGTGTAAAGCTTCCATCTGGAGCCAAGAAAGTGATCCCATCGAACAACCGAGCCATGGTTGGTATCGTTGCTGGTGGTGGACGTATTGACAAGCCCATCTTGAAAGCCGGACGTGCTTACCACAAGTACAAGGTCAAGAGGAACTGCTGGCCTAAGGTAATTGTCATACCTCTCATAAGTAATTACAAAATAATAATTGATGTGATGTTTTGACATTTGAAATCTGAATTTTTATGTGGACACTTTTTACTGATTTTTGAATCATAAATTATTTTTTATTAAATACTTTTGTCGAGAAAAATTACTAAAAATTTGTTGTTGTTTATTTCAGGTTCGTGGTGTTGCTATGAACCCAGTTGAGCATCCTCACGGAGGAGGTAACCATCAACACATTGGTAAAGCATCCACAGTCAAACGTGGAACCAGTGCTGGTCGTAAAGTTGGTCTTATTGCTGCCCGTCGTACTGGAAGAATTCGGGGAGGAAAAACTGATACCAAGAAAGACGATTAGACTGTTAAATAAGTCAATTGTTTTTATCATTATAAATAAAGAACATAAAGATCACACATGTGTTTTTATTTTAAATTAATAGAGAATGCTCGTGTGTATTTAATTACCCTATTATTTATTTTAGAATTTAATTATACTCATTATAACAATAATCAATTATTGAGTCCTGTTCATGATGACATTGAAGTTAGCTGTCACTTAACTCATTTTTAATTTTTTTTAACAAACAAGTTTGTTCTAAAAAATTAGTAAGTACTTAAATTACAAATTACATATGACACTAACAGTGTCTTAAATCTTTGAGATTTTTTTTTGTCTAGCTATTACGTTTGATAAACTTGTAATTGTTATTAATTAGAAATAGAATGTATTATTTTATGTTCTTATATAATTTATTTTATTATTTAAGTCAAAAATTTTGTGTAAATTTTGATTGAACCTGAAAAGGTCATTTTTTTTTAATTTTCGATGTTTACGCCAAGCTTTGAATTATGGAACAATTACACGATGTATTTTATATTTTTCATATCAACAACTCAGTCGGTATCATAGAAGTCTAGCCATCAAGAACCATGGCATCCTTGATGAAAATAAAAAGTTTAATTGCTCCATTAACAACTAAACAAACTCGAGTAATTTATAATGTCGTCAGAACAAGTAAGAAGTTTGTTTATATTTTTAATAAATTTATATCACAAAATTTCATTTTTAAGTATAACAAGTTACAAAATTCACTTGCCACAAAATGACAGGTTAACTACGTCATTACATAAGTTGTTTTTACATGTTTATTTATTTGTCATTAATAAATATATTTTATTTTAATTAATCAGAGGTGATGACCAATTGGGATTACATGCCAGGACCAAGACCGAAAAATGAAGAAGAGCATAAAAAAGCTGCTGAAAAATACGGTTTGCATCCAGCTGAATACAAATTGTACCCAGATGATGGTATGAGGCCCGTTGGAGATTACCCGATGTTACCTTATGAACCAGTCAGCCTTCGTGATCCTAATTATCCTTGGGATTGTCCTGATGATAAAAGAAACTTTGAAGAACCGGTATTTTTACTAATTATTGAAATTTCAAATGACACTAAAATTAACAGCTGACATTTTATATTTCTTTTATGAACTACAGATTCATGCTGAAATCAATTTACTTAACGAAGACAGAACAGATTACGGTGAAAAGCCATACATTGGATACCGACAAGGTCCATGGACATTTTGGGGATTTGTCGCAGTTTATGCTATGTTGTTTCTTATTGCGGACCAATATCCTAATTTCAGGCCAGTTGTAAGTATTTATTATTATTATTATTATTGATTTTTTATGATACTGAAATTGAGAGACATCTGATTTTAGAATTTTTTTTTATTGAAAAAATAAAAAAAAAAAAAATTTCATTTATTAACAACTTGAAAAACTGTAAGTGCAATTTTACAAAAATATTTTTTTGTTCTAATTTAATTATTGAAAAAAAATCAAAAAATTAAAAATGTCAGCTAACATTAGTATTATCTAACTTCAGTATTATGACAGCAATCTAATTGTTTGTTTCATTAAAAAATTCACTTTACTCCAAATTGACATACTTTATTAAACTGAGATAATTTTCAAGTTTTTGTAGTCTTAATAATTTATAATAAATTTTTTTTTCAGTTGGAAAAACAAATCCCGCAGGCTGGCAAAGTTCATTACACATTTGAGCCAGCTAAATAATTAAGTTAATTTAAATAAATAATTTGTAGAAAAAAAAAATGTTTAAATTTACTCAAAAACAAATAACGGAAAATTAAATCTGTAATATTAATTTAAAAATTACTTTATGTAATGCATAGTAAAAAAAATAAACTAATAAAAACATTTATTATTAATTTTTAATATTTCTTTCATTAATAAAAATAATCTAATGATGGTAAAAAAATTTATCGCGTGATTTTTTTGACTTTGACATGGGCGTAAATAGAAACTCTAACCTAAAACGTCAGATGTCATAAAATTTTTTGTGCTTTGTTTATGTATTATTTACAGCAATTAATTCAATACAATAATTTACCAAAATTATGAAACAATGAGTCGGAGTAATCAATTACCAAACTTGGAAAAAATATTCAAAGATGATGATGAGCAAGATTTCAACCCAGTTGGAGGGTAATTGTTTCAATAATTAAGTGCAAAAATTGCTTGATAATTATTTAAGATGTTTTTTTGTTTTAATTATTAAAATTATTTTATTTTTTAGATCAAACTTAGCGTCAATTTTCGGTACTTCAAATAAATCACTGGACAATGTGTCTAAAACTCCATCGAAAAAGTCTAAGAATGATAAAGCTAAAGTTCAGTCATCACCGTCATCAACATCATCATCAAAGACTGATGTCATTTTAGCAAAAGTTATTCATGCATACAAATTGTAAGTAAAATCATGACACTGAAATTATAATATTAAAGTTAGCCGACGTTTTTAATTTTTTTATTTATTAAATAACAACTATTTATTAAATTAAAAATTTATTAAATAAAAAATATTTTTTTTAGTTCACCGACATTTAAAAATAAAAAAAATTTTTTTTATTGTAAAAATAACTACAAAAAAAAAAAATAAAAAAAATTATCATTTGTTACAAACTTGAAAAACTCTAAGAGCAATTTTTACAAAATATTTTTTTTTTCTAATTTAATTATTAAAAAAAAATTAAAAACGTCGGCTAACTTTAGTATTATTGTAAAATCAATACTTATTCTTCTAAAAGTTTTTTTAATAATAATAAAAAATGTCAGGCAAAATGGACAATATTCACCGTTAGGTAAATTGGGAATTGCACTGACAGGCAATACGTCAACAAAGACATATTTATTAATTCTCTACCGTCATAAAAACGAGCATATATCTGTAGTAACTCTGACAGCTGATTTCAATTTATCAATCCAAGAAAATAACTATGTAAGTTATTACGACGTCAATAATGACAACTGGTCGATATTATTTGACAGCAATGATTCGTGCATTGAATTTGCCAGAGAAATTGCTGTGTCTAAGTATTTAATGCGCCAAGGAAAAACAGAGGAGACGATTTATTTTGAAAATCTTACAATTTGCACCGAAAAAGACACCAAAGAAGCTAAAGAAGGTGACAGTATCAATATAAAGTGTTCAATAATCACCAACATAATTCAACCCTTGAAGGTGAGCTCGATTCCGGTCCAAAATATGACCGTGCAAATTTCTTCAGATGACAACTGGGAGCGCTCGTTGCTGGGCATCAGCCCTGGGTGTAAGAGAATTTTAATTCTATCTCCAAGTAAGCAAATTAGTTTAGGTCCAGGATTTCCTCGCGATAAGGAAGTCGCTTTGGACATTGAAGTCGTTGATATTATTCCCGAAGTTAAACCCATTGCTTCACCTAAACCTCCTACTGGAAAAGCTTCGCTAATTTCTCGGATGGCTAAAATGGGTCAGTCGATTTTGCCAAAGGTTCCAACTTCTACGACCACCGATTCTGAAGATACTGAAGAAGATGTTCCTATCAAGTCTCCTAGGCGAGCGAAGGTTTCTGATAACGGAGTTAAATCTTCGGCAGTTTCTAAAAATTTAACTAGTGATAGCAGTCAAGATAATATTCCAGATGGTAATGTTAAATGTAATGTAAGAAATAGTAATTCTATGACGGTGCCTACTCCTCATGGAAGTTTAGTTCCTGCTGCATTTACTTCTGGTTGGTCTACTCCTATACCAGTAAGTTTAATAATTAAGCTATTAATATTAAGAATATTTAAAAAAAAAATACTTCCATAAATAGTCGAATTTATCAAAAGAAATTTTTATTCAATTCAAGTAAAGCTATTCGTTTATTTATTTATTATAATAAAAAAAAAAATTTTATAATAGAGGGAAATATTAATTTTTTTATGTAAAAAAATTAATAAATTTTAATCGTTCACTTCAATAAATTCTTGAGCCAACACAAATAGAAAAGTTAGCTTGAATCAAAAGAAAAAAATTTTATAATTAGGAAAACAATACATTTCTTAAGAGAAAAAATTCTTGAGAATTTTATTGTTTTTCTCCCAAGAAATTTATTGTTTTCTTTGTAATAGTCTTAGTTAAAGAATTTTCTGCCAGTGAAGAAATCTTGTTAATTAGTTAATACTTGTTCTAGCAACAATTTATATCGACAATCGATGGCCAGTTCTATTCAATTCCTTCTTCAGTATCACAATCTCCGGTAGCGGGGTCATTAGATCCGAATATAAATGTGTTTTTATCGGAAACACGGACCCAAAATGCTGAAATACGAATGGGAATGTCAAAAATATCAGATAATGTACAAAAATTGTTAGATAAATTTCACGCTCTTGAATTACAAAATGCTACGGCGTCTCCAAGCAATGACAAAGCGCTTGAAACTTCATTAAAGATGTTGCTTGCGTTAAATTTAAATAAGAATGATTCTAAAGTTGGTGAAGGGAATAATACTGCATGTGTGGAATTAAATGAAGCGAGAGAAAGAATTCGTTTTCTTGAAGATGAATTGAAGAGTATAAAAAATAATTCTACAGAGAGTTTTAATAAATTAGAGGATTTTGAAAAAGAGAAAAAAGAATTAGTTTCTGAGAAAGAAGAAATGAAGAATACGATTAAAGAGTTGGAGTTAAAGTTAATGGAAGCGCGCAGCGAACTTCAGAAGGCGCAAGAGAATATTAAGAGTACTAATGAACAAGTTATTAAGTATCAAAGAGATAACATTAAGATGGAACAAAAAATTGTGACTTTAGAGGCTGAACAAAGAAGTTTGAAAAGTAGAAATTTAACGAGTGACAATAAAGCTACGGAAACTAAGTCATTGATGAATAAAATGTATCAAACGTTGATGACTAAATTTACTGATGATTCTTATTCGACTGATTATATTAAATCTACAATAGCAAGTACAATTAAGGTAAGAATATTTGGTAATTATTTGCAAGTGGGGTCCACTTTAAAAAATTAACATTTAAAAATTTTTTTTTACTCTACTTGTTTTTATGATAAAAAATGTTGTGAAAGAAAAAAAAAAGATCTCGATAGCTTTTTTGCCTTCAAAAGTTGGAAAAAATTTTGGCTGATGTTTTTAGATAAAATTACTATTTTATTATTATTTTTTATCATAAAAAATAGATGAATTGATGGATCATAATTTTTTTTTTAATATTAAAAAATTAATATTTCAATTAAAAAAATTTTTTTTTCAGGCAATAACTTTACAAGTCTTAAGAGAAAAAAATGATGTAGAATTACGTTCAAGCAATGTAGAATATTCTGATCCGCCTGACAGTCATAAAATAAAAGACTTAAAATCATCTGAAGATAGTTTTATCCTTCCAGCACTCGATACAATGTCTGATTCAAAAGATATTGATGTAAGTATCTCAAAATATACATAAATAGAGTGAGATATATTTTAATTTATCTCGTGCCTTATTTTTGTATTGATTTTTTTAGACCGCATCAGTTCTATCCGAACCACCGCCAATCCCTCCAATGGACTTAGATGACGACTGGCTACCTTAAAAATTAATAGAAATAATTTTGTACATTTTTAATAATTATTACAATAGGGATAAAATAAATAGAAACTTTTAAAAATTATCGAGTTCTTCATTGACAAAATCATTGAATTGTCTGTCCTGTAAAAACCATTAAAATTAATTGATGTATATATAATTTAATTGATAGTTGTTTGATATAATAATCAATAAAAAAAATTAAAAATTAAATAAATATTACTAATACTGATGACTAATCTATAATAATAATAAATCTATGACGAAAAAAGTAGTGAAATAAATTCATTTCACAAATTTACAACCAGCGCCCTCAATCAGATAAACCTAAAAAAATAATCAAGTTCACAATCATTAAAATAGTAATAACCTTAACAAACAAATCATATTTCACCTCAACACTTATTTTTATTGTTATTAATAATAATAATAATAATTTTAAAAAAAATTTTTAACTTAAAAAAATAATATATAGATAAAAGTCAGCTGACAATTTAGTTTCTGTTAAAAATCAAAATGTCTGGTACGTATAACCACCGTAAGTTTACTCTGTCACCATATTTACGTTAAACAAATAGTTTTAATAAATAAATAATAATATTTCAAAGGTAGATAATTGTTAATAAATTGACGACGGAGATTGTTTAATAGTCCGTCTCACCAGTTTAAAATGATGTGCAACATTTGTCTTTGTCTGAGATCACGGTTAAATCTTGGCTTCTACCACGCCAATCAACTTTTTTCAATTTTAACCTTCAGCTTTATTGTCCTACAATTTTTATTTATTATCTTACTTCAATGTTTAAAATTTTTCCAATTATTTAATATATTAATTTTAGTTATTGGTTAATATAATGAATGATGAGATGATTTTTATGTTTGCAGGTTAATTGTTTATTTATTTAGTTAGCAAGAATAATAATTATTGTTATTATAAAACTATGGATACTATGGAGACAACTACAGGAGGAGGAGAGACAGCTGGTGAAGAAGAAGAAGAAGATGTATCATTCCATTTAGGAGAATTATTCAATAGTTATGAAGAGCTGGAGTGCAAGTTAGAAAAATTTTCCAAGCGTAGCTTAGTCCATTATTGGAGGCGAGACAGCAGAACTGTCAGCGGGGCTCACATGAAAACTGCAAGGCATATTAGCGAAAAACTTAGATATTATTCGGTCAAGTATGCTTGTATTTATGGTGGCCAGAAATTTCTACCACGTGGTGCTGGTAGAAGACAGTCACAGTACGTTCTTTGTAGTTTTTTTATTTAGGATTTCCTAGTTTGGTTTATGTATTTTTATTTTCTTTTTTTATGCCGACAAAAATAATTTACTGCAAATTTGTTCATTTTATTTCGATTATTATAACATAGAAAAATTATTCTGAATGAAAATTAAAATTAAAAATTCATAATTTAATTTGGTAATTAATAATTAAATCTTACCAAAATTTTTATTTTTATTTTAGATCAATCAGAACAAATTGTCCTGCGCACATCATGTTAAGAGCATCGAAAGACGGAAATAAATTAGAAGTCACTAGCGTAAATAATGACCATAATCACGAAATATCTGAGGTATTGATTTAAATCACTAATTATGCAGCTTCACTAAATTTTTAATTATAATTTATTATTGCCTCTTAGGAATTATTTAAAAAACTACCCCAAGAAAGAAAATTATGCGGCGAAATGAAACAAGAAGTCCAGGAACTTATGCAGTTACACATCGACCGTAAAAGATTAAAAGAGTATGTACGTTTACGTACAAACAAAATACTTAGATCTAAAGATCTATTTAACATTGCCGCCGCAAATAAACAAAAGAAGACAATAACTCCTGAGCGAGCGTACGAGTTGTTTGAGCGGATTCGTGATTTAGAGGATTTACAAAACCGCAATTCTAGCGGTAAAGTATTTTCTGAATCTGATGATGACACATCACAGAGTGCCAAGCGTATTAAAAAGGAACCTCCATCACCTTGGGGGCAAGATGTAAGTTTAAAATGTTTTTTTTTATTTTTTATAAATCACTGAGGTAAAAGATCCAGTTATTGACACTAATAAATATATTTTTTGAATTATAAATTTTAATGATTTTTTGAGAACATTTTATTTTTTTAACCCGTTTAAGTGGTGGTTATTATGTTCGTTTATATTTATTAGCCATATTGGCTTTAGCTTATATTAAATTTTATTTTTTTTAATTTCATTTCAATGATAATAGTTACAATAATTTTTTATAATATAGTTTAGTAACAGCATTTAGGAAAAAATTTTATTTTTAAGAAATGTGACCACTACGGGTTGATTAAAATAAAATTGCAAGTGTCAAACAACTAAGCCAGTGTCAATAACTGAGTAAATAATTTTCTTTATTAAGCTTATTTAATAATTTAAAAATCAAGGAACTATCATCAGAATTAGCTGAAGCAAGTGAAGGTAATGACGGGGAAGATTCTTACACTCAATTATCGCAAGAAGAAGTTGTTGACGACATGGATACAACGGAAGATCAATTATTAAGCACGAATACCGACGGCGATTTGATTTCAGCAAACGGTGAAATCGTAGGCGAGTTAGTAATGCAAGATGACCCGTCGGTTATTATTGAGTCAATAGTCAATACAGACGAGTATGGCGACGAGCGTAACTTTGGAAGTTACCGTGATGACGATAATCACCTGAAGCATCAGGTCGACGACCACACTGATACCGAAGTGTTGTCAATTGATCCCATTGGAACAGACGCTGAAATAGATAAACTCTCGAAGACTCCGTCTAATTCACCTGTACCTGTACCTGGACAAACGATAGAATCACTGTCGGCGGATATTGATGACCATTCACCGGAGTTAGATCAAAATCACTCGCACTCTCATCATATTAATCAAGACTCTCATAGAATTTGGATTATGAAAGAGTCGCCGACTCATCAAACTGATAACTTTGTTGACGATGATGATGGTATAAAAACGTCTGCTGTAGAAGCTGCTGGATGTAGACCAGTTACCACTACAATTAATGGTGAAGAAAATTCGGATGTTAATGAAGTTGTTTTTGCAGAAGAGGCTAGTCATCAGTTATTACTGGAACAGCTTGCAGTCTTGAGAGCTGAAAAAAATAAATTGCATCATGAAACAGAAATGCTTAAGTTGAAAAAAAATAAACTTAAATTACAAATTGATTGTTTTACAAGTGAACTCAGTAAGCAGGAAATGGAAAAAGAAAAATTGAGATTGGAAATAACATTACTTAAGTCTAAAGTCGATGGTGATGGTGTTTCTTTGTTGTTTGTACCTTAATTTGGTTAATTATATAAGATTAAATGTAAGATACGATTATTGAAACATGTGAATAATTTTTAGGACTACTGTTAGGTTACTGATTAATATTAATATTATTATTATTATTATTATTATTATTATTAAATATTTTATGAGTTAACTTATAAGCGTATTTATAACAACGGTCTAAAAAGTATTGTGAGGAAAAATAAAGAGAAGTTTTTTAAATGTATAGAGGGAACTATTTATGATAATAATGCATTTTTAATTCGCTCATTATTAATAATACATCATTAGATTTATATCGATGATTATATTTTTATTATTGAGTGACTGGTTAGAATATTTTTTGAAATTTCATGAGATAAGTTTATGGAAAAAATAAGACTTGCGCTAAGGTATTTTTAGTAAAGTTGACATGAAAATGCAGCTTATTAAATGATTGTAATCTTTATTAATAAAACAATAAATGTTTGTGGGAAATTTAAGTAATGATTGTTTATTAAATCTATCTTCATTATTAAAATTAATAATAATTAAGTTAGCCTATATTTTTTATTTTTAATAAAAATAAAATAAAATTTTTTTGTAATAATTTTTTCAATAAAAAAATTCTTAGATATCAGTTAACTTTATTGTAATAAAAAATTAATTAAATTTTATAAATAAATTTTTAATTAATTTTTAAAAGACAGCTAGACCTACAATAAAAAAGAAAAAAAAATAAAATATTTAAATTTCCCGCTTCAAAGAAAAATTTGAATTTAGCGCCCTCTAAAACTACAAGCCAAAAGCTTCCAAGCCGATTAAAATGGCTGCGGCTTGTGCGTATGTGATGTAGATTATAACAAACGATATTCGTTATTTAATTTTTTCCAAGTTATTAAACAAATTAGAGAACTTCAAAAGTGGTTTTTAGACAGTTGAAAAGGAATAACAATTGATGCATGTGTAATTTATGTAACAATCAAAGCTGTAAGTACACTCTTTAATTTGTCAATACGTAAAATCATAATATCACGATAATGTCGTCATTGGGTTGAATAATTTCTTTCGTAAATATTATTCAGAACGAAAGAATAAAGTATAAATAAGTATTTATAATTAATTGGAAATAAAATTAATGATAGATAATTGATATCAGGAGTTGATTGATAAATACACTGGAGGCTGATCGTGATAATATGGCAAGTCCATCGCCTTCGTCATCACCTATGCCACCACCACAAGCTCCAAGTCCAATGGGCCCGCCACAAGCTCCGTCGCCGTCAAACCCACAGGGAAGTCCGATGGGACCTCCGCAACATCATCCTCACAGTCCGACTCAAGTATATCCTGGTGGTCCTCCTCCACCTTCTGGCCCGGGACCTGGACCTGGTGGACCGCCTATGTCGCAACCGCCTCAACCGCCGTCTCAGCAGCAAAATTATCCACCACATCCGCAGCAAATGCCTCCTAACATGGGACCCCAGGTAATTTATCATCAACTATTAGATAACTATTCATCTGATTATTTTTACAGCGATTTTTATTTTTAATTCAACTATAAATTATATAGAAAATTAGTTTTTATGGAGCTCTACTTGACGGTCAGCATCGTTGATCATTTTCCTAAGATCTTGAACGATTGTTTTATTGCAAGCACCAATAGCTCGTGGATTCATTATATCCACATCGTTCCCTGCATTTTTAGATAATTATTAATTTGATTATTTTTTTTAGCTAATTTTATCTCTATCTAGGTATGATTTATAGCTTTATCCATGATACTAAAATTAGCCAACATTCAATAATTTTTTATTTTTTTAATTAATTTAATTAAAACCACACAAATATTTAAAAAGAATGTACGCATAATTTTTAGAATTTTCCATATAGGCTTTTCAAGATATTTTATGATGTTGAAATTAAATTAATTAAATTAATTAAAAAAAAAAAAAGCAGAAAAATTCCACTTGTAGAAATTTAAAAATATTTTTTTTTATTTAATGATTTAATAAGCGTGTTAAATAATAGAGAGTAAAAGAAAAATTAATAAAAAAAAAGACTACAAGAGTATTCTAGGTCAAAAAAATCAATTTAATTTGAAGAAATCATTTATTTTCTAAATTAACTACAATTTTTTAAAATTAAATTATTCTTAGGTTTGAGTATTTTAATCTATCATAAATAATATTCTACAAAATAAATAATCATTAAAATCTACAATCAATTTGTTCTCTTGAGTCGTCTACGCTGTGTCTGAAGATCAGTATCATTTATTAGCTTCGACATTTCTAACGCAAGAGCTTCTGTCCCCGTTGCTATCGTATTTGCTTTCATGACATTGAAAACTCCTCCTATTAATTAACTGTTGAATTATTAATTTTTTTTTTTCATGAAATATTAATCAAATAAATTACCTTTGGTATCTATAACAGTACCACCGGCCTCTCTAACCAGCAGAATCCCAGCCGCAACATCCCAAGGTTTCAAATGATCTATTTGAAATCCGTCAATTGTACCTTTTGCGACGTATGCTAGTCCCAATACTGCTGACCCAACATTTCTTACTCTAAATTCAAATTTGAAATTCATTTAATTAATGAAATTATTATTATTACAATAAATAAAAGAGAAAAATTTTGACACATTACCCATCAGCTACTCGTGACAATGCTTCTATTCTTCCTAATACAATATCGCGCTTAGGCGCTGATTTTAATAGTCCGGGCTCGATGTTCAACAGTGCAAGTTCCAATTTAGGTGTTTTGGAGACTGTAATTTTTTTGTCATTCAAAAACGCACCTTGGCCTTTTTTTGCCGTGTATAATTCATTGAAATGAGGGTTGTAAATAATAGCGAGTGTCATTTCTTTATTAATTGCTAGGCCGATTGATATGCAGCATTGTGGAAACCCGTGAACAAAATTAACTGTGCCGTCGATTGGATCAATAATCCATGTAGGTGCGTCGGTTAATTCTAATGGTTCATCTTTGTTGTAAGATTCTTCAGCAATAAACCTATTGAAATTTACAATGATCTATTCATAATCTAATTAAAATATTTTTTTTTGGAAATATAAACTTTTCAAGTTAATTTTAAATTAAAAGTAATTTTATTTTAATTCAATAAAATAATACTTGAATTATTTAACAAAAGTTTTTTTTTTTTTATAAATTAAATAAACTTAATTATTTGTTATCACAATTTCGAGACAGCAATCTCTTGATTCATTGAAATTGTCATTGATATGAAATCTTATAAGTTTATAACAAACAGAGTACTTACTTGTGATCAGGAAATTTTTTACTCAAATTTGATATTAATAAATTTTCAATAGCTTGGTCATCATCAGTAACAAGGTCCCGAAAATCTCCCTTGATTTTAACAACTTTTTCACGGTTCAAAGCAGTTTTTAAAATCTAAAAAAATCAAATTTTTACTTTGTTTTTAACGAAAGAAAAAATTAATTGACACGGTTAATTATCTTCAGTTGTGAAAGATAATTTTAAATACCTCGCCTGCTTGTAGTGCAAGTTGTTTAGCGAACACAAAGTATTCTTCAATATTCGTTGCCATTTTAATAGTCACAAATTACGATATTAAATAATTAAGAGATGTGCTACCGGTGAGGTGTTTCACATCAATGCAATTTCTATCAGGTTTTGTTCTTAAATAACTTAAATACCTTGAGGTTTATCACTATTCTTAGATAATAATCTCTTGTCTTTGTTCAAGTGTCACTGATATGAAATCTTATTAATTTGTTACACTTTTTTATATTTATTTTTAATTGTTTATTATTTTCCAGTCTAGTGAATTCTACTAAAAATTTATTTTACTGTTTTTTTTTTTTTTTTTTTTAATTTTTTGATATTAAATTAAATGTTTAATTTTCAGGTCAAAATCGTAAATTTTATTTAAAATTTAGTTCTAATTTTCTTCATCCATTTTTTAAAATATAAATTATATCAACGAATTTTTTTTTTTCACATTCAAACGCATAAAAAAAAAATTTTTATGTTTTTATTTATCAATAAATTTTTATTGTATTTAAAGATAGTAATTGAATTAATAAAATTGTTATTGTTCTGACACTTATGATAGCAGATAATTATAAATAAAAAATTTTTTATGAATCAATTTTTAAACAATTTTAATTTGAAAAAAAAAAAAAAAAAAATCACCAATTTATTATAATTTATACAATATTTGAATAAACACCAAAAATATTTTATAAAATAATTCTCAGTTAAAATTTTTTTATAAATATAAAACATAGTTAACACAACAATAAAAAAATTTTATACAGTTGCTTATAAAATTTAAAGAAGAAAAACTAATTTTTATTTACAAAAATAAAATATTGAACTAGAAAAAAAAATTATCAATGAACAGTTTGATAACTAGGTTGAAACTATAAATATTCTTGCACTCGCTGAGCGATTTAGTCATCAATTATCAATGAATTAAAAACTAATAAACTTATTGTGATATGATGATATATTCAAAGCGAATAAATACATCAGAGTTGCTAATGCTAATTCTCTTTGTATACCTCCGTCATAATTATCAATTATTAACAATCAATAATAATAAATTTATATAAAATTAACAATTAAATGAAACAGCTTAATAAATTATTCAGATTTTTTATCATTAACGCGTCGCCGGTGAGTTTTAACATCAGCAAGTCTGACAAGCTTGACCAGCTCGGGTGCAAGTTTTCTATTGCCCATAGCCAGCACTCTAGGCTTCATAATATTGAAATCTCCGCCAGATGTATCGATAACATGACCGCCGGCTTCGCGGATTATCAGAACACCCGCAGCAACGTCCCAGGGCATTAAATTGTCGGTGTGATAAACATCTGCGGCCCCCATCGCCACATGGCAAAGTGTCAACGCTGCGGATCCAAGAGTTCTTATTCCGTGGGCTATTGTAACAAATGCCTCGAACCGACCGAGGATTATGTCCCTGATGTCTTCTATGGTCGCATATGATGCTTCAATGCACACCAGAGACTGTCGCAATTCTGAAATACGTAACAGATTTATTTAAATTTAAATTATCAGTGAACTTTTGATCTTGATAGTTTATATTCATGATTTATTATTGGTTGGCAAATACTCACCAAAGACGTCAGAACTTTTGATCGGCTTCCCGTTTAGATAAGCGCCGCGTCCTCGTCGCGCTGTAAACATTTGCTCGAGAACTGGGTTGTATACAATCCCGATTTCTGGTTCCCGATTCACCAGGAGAGCTATTGATATGCACGTGTGGGGAAATGCGTGGACAAAGTTTGTCGTTCCGTCAATCGGGTCGATTATCCAGGTCGGCGCGGCTGTTAATTCTGGAAGGATGTTCGTTTTTGATACCGTTTCTTCTCCTATGAATCTAAAATAATTAATTAATTATTAATTCAATTTTAAAAATTATAAACATTAATAAAATTATTAAATATTTTGACCGTGAGCAAGTTAAACTAATTTAGAACAATTAGTGTAGAAAAATTGTTTCTAACTAGATGATATTTGACTGCAAAAAATTTTAGAATTATTTTAAGATAAAATATGTTTATAATTCTTTTTATTATTTGTTAATAGTTTGTTTTTTAACTATACACAAGTAATTGAAAGAATTTTGATTAAAAAATCTTATTAGTTTTTGTAATTAAATTGTTCTTAAAATTTTCAATATTATTTGATGAATTAATAAAGTATTAACTTTAAAATACTGATAGATTTTTGAATAATTTTTAATTGCAAAAAATACTATAATTATTTAATTATAAAAAAATTATGCCTGTAATTTTTTTTAATAGTTTTTTAAGCTATAAATAAGTAATTGAAAGAATCTTATTAGTTTTTTATAATTAAATTTTTATGCATAAAAAATTTTCTGCACAATTGTTATGCAAAATTATTTTTTTATAACTGAGATAAAAATAATGAAATCATTTTTCTTAAAATTTTCAATACTGATATCTTAATTTTCCTTGAAAAGTTTTATTCATTTTTTACGAGCTATTACACATACTAATAAAATATTCTATTAACTCAACAATAATTTTAAAAATTAATTATAAATTGAAATTTTTTATATTTTCTTTGACACTTAAAAATAACAAAAAATAAAATCAGTAGATTTGTTTAATATAAAAATATATTGAACAAAGAAAACGTTGGCATAAAATTAACATCTATCAAGACCTTGTTAGTTGAAATTTATTTGAAATCTATTTCAGTGACTAAACAGCCAAAGTATTAAAAAACATTACTTGCAAATAGCTTTTAAATAAAATAATTTCATAATATCAAAATTTTCCGTAGAAAAACTTCCGTAAAATAAAATCTAAAAATAGCTTTGAAGTTTTAAAAACTGATACGTACTTGTGTGTAGGAAATTCTTTAACAAGGCCGTCAATCAAAATTTGTTCAACTTTTTTGTCGTACTCAGTAACTAAGTCCCAGTCACCAGCTTTAGTTTCAATATTTTTTCCACCTTGTATCGCATCTCTGATGATCTGAAATGTCACATCAATAAAAATTTTTCAACATATAGCATATAGATGTAATGCATCTAGCCCTTCACATCACCACTTATCAATCTTTCAATAAATTACTCTGTCTATTAATACATCGTCTCTCATGTCAAATAAAGTACCATCTATCATTAATCATTAAATAGTTTTATGTATAAATAAAAAAAGGAATACCTTCGCCGATTCAATGGTCAGTTTCATAACAAAGTCATAACAGTAATCCAATTCTTTTTGACTCGTCATTTTTATTTTATTTCAAGTATAAATTATAAATTAATTCTAACAACAAAATAATAAAATGTTATCCACTGGGTCTTAACACACAAGTGACGTGATATTTGCGGAAGCGCACTACTTATGCAAAAGCTCCACAACCCCACTACACTACGTTATTTTTCCAATATATACATACTGCGTTGATACCATTCATTTCCCTATTATTTTTATTTTTATATATTTATATACTTCTTTTAACTTTTCTTCGCTAACTATTGTTTTACCTCAGTGTAAATTTAACTTTTTGTGTTTTAAAATTTTTTAGTCTTTATAAAAATTTATTTAAAAAAATATTTAAAGTACGAAAATTTAGAAAATTGAGAAAACGATGAAAAATTTTCTTAGAATATATTTAAATAAATTTTTATTTTAAGAAATGTAAAAATTATTGAAAATCAGATAATTTGAGTTTAACTAAAATTCATAATGACTTTTTTATTATTATTATAAATAATAATTATAAAATTGAATTAATTAATATAAATAATTACAATTAAAATAACTTAAAAATTATTAGAGTAAATATAATAGAAATTTGACCATTTTTTTGTTTTTATTTAATAAAAAAAATTTACAAAAATTTAACATAAAAAATTTTAATCGATATTTATTAATTTGATTAAATTATAAAATATTTATTAAAAAAATTTTTTTTAGGCTCAATTAAATAATTAGGATGAAAAATGAACTTATTACTCATTTTTTTTAATTTAGTCAAATATTCAATTATAAATTTTGTAAAATAAAAAAAATTCAATTTGAATAAAAAATTTTCTAAGTAAAAAATTGAAAACTGAATTTTAACCCAAAAAATTTTTCAAAAAAAAATCATCAAATTATAATAGTATGAATAAAATAAAACAAGTAAATAATTTCAAAATAAACATCTAAAAAAATCATGCCCAAAAATTTCTAAATTTATAATATGATAAATAAAAGTAAACAATGTTCACATGAGATAAGTGAGCAATCGAGCGTAATTTAAGTAACAGGTGTAGGGACCCACGTGTTAACAATGTGTCACCTGTATTGAACCAGTGGATAAACGTTCTTTTTTCACCGTCAACTCTTTCTTCGCTCGTTCTCTCTGTACTTTATGTTTCCATATACTCACATGCTCATACAATACATCCACATACTTATAAACTTACAATCATAACACAGCATGCTGCGTTCACGCTTCAAGCAACACGTAATCACGTTCCAGAGGCATGTTTACAACCTTACGCTTAGCTTTGTAATATTGTTTTAGGATATCTGGTATCTATCATCAACTTCCTATGATTTATTCCGTCTGTTTCTTATTCTACCTGACCGCCGCTGTCATTATCATTAGCAGAAAATAATCAAAGGGAAAATGAAAGCGGCTGTTATATTAATCAGCTTGACCATTATTGCTCACGTCTTTTGTCTAAATTTCATTGTTCGATGTAAAAATGTTATTTATCGATGATTAAATTAAAAGTTCAAGTTTACGTAGATTCTGAATGACATAACGTAGTTTAAGTTTGAGCAATGGAAAATTTCATTAAATCCATACGTGACGGAAATTATAAAATGTGATTCTATTGCTATTGGAATTATAATTCACGCGCTGATAACCATTTGCATTTGTATTTTATTTATCGCCTTATCTGTTACGCCAACTGATAGATGTGATTATAATAATTATGTTATACTATAAATATGTTGATAAATTGAGTAAAAAAATTTCTAAGTCTGTGTAAACAAATAATGAAACTTTTAGTATTTAATATTACAAAAATATATGTATAATAATATTATTATTATTATTATATATTATATTTAATACTTAGTTTTCAATGTCAGAGATGTACCATAAATAATCACGCAGATAGTCACAATAATAAAGACGTCACACGGTGTGATATGATTATATGAGTCGTAATAAATAATATTATTGCACGGTGGATAGAAATTTAATCCTGACGAAGCATACATAATAATAGACTAGTTTATTTTTACTTATATTATTGTCTATTATTAAGCTAGAATTTATTTATATGATGTGATATAAGTTCACCTTTTCTTGATCGGATTTTTAAATTTAATAAAAAATCTTGAGATTAATCATGTAAGATTAAAAAAAAAAATTATGAAATAGAATATTATTTTTTTTTTTGAGAACTAAAGAATTTTTTTTATTAAAGGGCCCACCAGGAGCACCTCCAGGAGCGCAAGGACCTGGAGGACCAATGATGCCAGGACAAATGGGAGGACCTCCAAGTGCTGGACATATGGGACCAAATCAAATGGGACCGGGAGGACCACCTCCGCTAGTTTCAGGGCAGATGTTCCCTGGGCCGCCAAATATGGGACCTGGAGGTCCTAACCAAATGGGTCCTGGAGGTAACTATCAATATTAATTTCAGTTATTATTATTATTATTATTATTATTGTAATATTAATTAAAAGCTGTAATTTTTAACTTGAAAATATTTTTTAGGACCAAATCAAATGGGTCCAGGCCATATAGGACCTGGTGGACCACCAGCCCCGCATATGCAAGGGCCAAACAACCAAATACCAAGTGGACCGGGGCATATGCAAGGACCTCCACCATCAGGACACATAAATATGGGCCCAGGACCTGGACCGATACCGCCAGGTCCAGGACACATGAATCCATCAATGCCTGGTGGTCCATCGATGGGCCCAGGTGGTCCACCCAATATGTGTCCGCCAAATCAAGGTCACGGCGCTAATGGACACTCCCAGATGAACATGACCGGTCCAGGAAGTCAAATGAACATCGGGCCTGGTGGTCCAGGTGTTCCAATGATTATGGGAGGACCCAATGCTTCTGGACTAGGCCCAGCTGGGCCAATGGGTCCTAATTCTGGACCTGGAAACCAAATGGGACCTGGCGGACCGATGATGCCTGGGTCGGGACCCAATCAGATGCCTCCAGGTGGACCTGCGAGTCAGATGGGACCTGGAGGACCCTTACCGATGAGCGCTAACAATTCTGGAGGCCCAGGTGGACCTGGTGGACCACCAGGACCTCCAGTAATGGGTCCGATGCCGCCAGGAGCTCAAAATCAACCGCTGGGGCCAATGGGACCTGGAGGACCAGGAAATTCAATGCCTCCGGTCCCTGGTGGTCCACCTGGTGGCTCTGGAACTGGACAAGAAAATCTCAGTGCTCTGCAAAAAGCCATCGACTCAATGGAAGAAAAAGGTCTCCAAGAAGACCCTCGGTACTCGCAATTACTAGCTCTTCGTGCTCGTGGTCAAGGCGGGGCCAATGATAGGTTCACTACTCAGCAATTCCAACAGCTTCGCGTTCAAATTATGGCTTATCGATTACTGGCGCGGAATCAGCCGTTGTCTCAGCAACTAGCTCTGGCAGTTCAAGGAGCAGCTCCACTACCTGGCTTAAATCGACCAAATGATTCTACTCCTGCAGGTCCTCTTCAAGTTCCGAGTGTCAATGGGCCACCTCGACCTGGCTCTCAACCGTCTCAACAGTTGCAGCAACACCAACAACAACAGCAAGTCGGTAATAAAAGTAACCGCGTTACGAGTGTCGTTAAACCAGCTGGATTAGATCCTCTAGTTATTCTTCAGGAGCGTGAAAATCGTGTAGCGACAAGAATTGCCCTACGCATGGAACAGTTGAGCAATTTGCCGACAAACATGCCTGAGGATCTTCGTATTCAAGCTCAGATAGAATTACGTATGCTACGCGTACTTAACTTCCAACGTCAACTGCGTTCTGAAATAATTGCTTGTACTCGCAAGGATACGACCCTTGAAACTGCTGTTAATGTTAAAGCTTACAAACGTACTAAACGTCAGGGATTACGGGAAGCTCGTGCTACTGAGAAATTGGAAAAACAACAGAAACTTGAAGCAGAACGCAAACGCCGACAGAAACATCAAGAATTTTTGACCTCTGTTTTGCAACATGGCAAAGATTGGAAAGAATTTCATCGTAATAATGTCGCTAAAATGTCACGATTGAACAAAGCTGTGCTGAATTATCACGCTAATGCTGAGCGTGAACAGAAGAAGGAACAAGAGCGTATTGAGAAAGAACGTATGCGTCGTTTGATGGCTGAAGACGAAGAAGGATACCGTAAGCTTATTGATCAGAAAAAAGACAAACGGTTGGCATTCTTGTTGTCGCAAACTGATGAGTATATTTGTAATCTTACTGAGATGGTCAAGCAGCACAAAATGGAGCAGAAACGGAAACAAGTTGAGGAGCAAAAACGCAAGAAGAAGAAGAAAAAGTTACAAGATGGTACTTCGGTCAATGAAGATGGTACTCCGGCTGAGGACACGCGTGTTCATGTTTATGAAGTAAGTACTGGACGTACGTTGACTGGTGAAGACGCTCCTATGATGAGTCAATTAAATGCTTTCATGGAGTCTCACCCGGGTTGGGAAGTTATTGAATCTGATAGCGAGGAGGATGATGACGATGATGAAGAAGAAAATGTATCTGAACAAAAAGCCAAAACCGGTGATTTCTCAGCTGCGTCTGCTGCCGATAGTAACAGTGGTGCAGGTGACTCTGTCAGTGAAACTAGGAAAAAATTAAATAAAGCCAAAGTCGAGGATGATGAGTATAAAACTGAAGAGCAGACTTATTACAGTATTGCACATACAGTGCATGAAACTGTTACTGAACAAGCCTCTATTATGGTTAATGGAGCACTCAAAGAGTATCAGATAAAAGGTCTCGAGTGGTTGGTGTCATTGTTTAACAATAATCTCAATGGTATTTTAGCTGACGAAATGGGTCTCGGTAAGACAATACAAACTATTGCGCTCGTTACTCATCTTATGGAGAAGAAGAAGGTCAATGGACCGTTTTTAATCATCGTTCCATTGTCAACACTATCTAATTGGGTTCTTGAGTTTGAAAAGTGGGCTCCGAGTGTCGTTGTTGTTTCCTACAAAGGCTCGCCGGCGGGACGACGCGCGATACAATCTCAGATGCGAGCCACCAAGTTCAATGTACTGTTGACCACCTATGAATACGTTATCAAGGACAAAAGCGTGCTGGCTAAGCTACAGTGGAAGTACATGATCATTGATGAAGGTCACAGAATGAAGAATCATCATTGTAAATTAACACAAGTATTAAATACACATTATTTAGCGCCACATCGGTTATTATTGACCGGTACTCCTTTGCAAAACAAATTACCTGAGCTTTGGGCGCTTCTGAACTTTTTGTTACCCTCAATTTTCAAATCATGTAGTACGTTTGAGCAGTGGTTCAATGCACCGTTCGCTACTACCGGAGAAAAAGTTGAGTTGAATGAAGAAGAAACAATTCTTATCATCCGTCGTCTTCATAAAGTACTGCGACCTTTCTTGCTAAGACGTTTGAAAAAAGAAGTCGAATCTCAGTTACCTGACAAAGTTGAGTATATTATCAAGTGTGACATGTCTGGTTTGCAGAAAGTATTGTACAGACATATGCAGAGCAAGGGTGTACTTTTGACTGATGGTTCAGAGAAAGGAAAACAAGGAAAAGGTGGTGCGAAAGCACTCATGAATACTATTGTACAATTGCGTAAATTATGTAATCATCCGTTCATGTTCCAAGCTATTGAAGAAAAATATTGTGAACATATAGGCGTTCAGGGTTCACATACAGTATCAGGTCCAGATTTATATCGAGCGTCGGGTAAGTTTGAGTTGTTAGATCGTATATTACCAAAATTGAAGGCAACTAACCATCGAGTATTGCTGTTTTGTCAAATGACACAGTTGATGACGATAATGGAAGACTATTTAAGCTGGCGTGGCTTTAAGTATTTACGTTTAGACGGTACAACCAAAGCCGAAGATCGTGGTGATTTGTTGAAGAGATTCAACGATCCTGGATCACAATATTTCTTATTCTTACTGTCAACTCGTGCTGGAGGTTTGGGTCTAAATTTACAAGCCGCTGATACTGTAGTTATATTCGATTCTGACTGGAATCCTCACCAAGATTTGCAAGCCCAGGATCGTGCTCATCGTATTGGACAAAAGAATGAAGTAAGAGTACTACGTTTGATGACTGTTAACTCAGTCGAAGAGAGAATATTGGCTGCTGCGCGTTACAAGTTGAATATGGATGAAAAAGTTATTCAAGCTGGTATGTTTGATCAGAAATCAACAGGAAGTGAAAGACAGCAATTCTTGCAGAGTATATTGCATCAAGATGACGCTGATGACGAAGAAGAAAACGAAGTACCAGATGATGAAACAGTTAATCAGATGATCGCTAGATCTGAGGGTGAGTTTGAGGCCTTCCAAAAGCTAGACCTGGAAAGACGGCGTGAAGATGCTAAATCAGGTCCCAATCGTAAATCAAGGCTGCTGGAAGAAAATGAATTACCTGACTGGTTGGTCAAAGACGACGATGAAGTCGAACGCTGGACTTACGAGGAAGATGAGGAGCGTTTTTTGGGACGTGGGTCTCGACAGCGTAAGGAAGTCGACTATACAGACAGTTTGACGGAGAAAGAGTGGCTGAAAGCCATCGACGATGACGGCGTTGAGTTTGATGACGAGGAGGAAGATGATAAGAAGAAAAAGAAAACTCGCAAGCGACGCAAGAGAGGCGAGGAAGACGAGGAACCGGTCCAGAAAAAACGTCGTGGTGCTGGAAGCAGCAGCGGCGCTGGTCCCTCAGTTGATATGAAATTACGGAAATCTATGAAGAAGCTACTGATGGTTGTTGTTAATTACACCGACAGCACTGATGGTAGATTGCTCAGTGAGCCTTTTATGAGATTGCCGTCGCGCCGAGAATTACCTGACTATTACGATGTAATAAAGAAGCCTCTGACCATCAATAAATTATTAAAGAAAGTTGATGAAGGCAAAGTAAGTACACATATTGAATTATTTAGGGAGAAAAGTTTGACGTTTGTTTTTAAATAGTCGGTCTAAAAAAACTCGGTCTTTCATTTTTAATTAGCAATAAACTTTAAGATAATTACTGATTCCAAGTGTTTTCCCGGTAGTTTATTTAGATTTAACGGAGATTTTAAAATTAGTTGTTAAATTAATTGACTCGATGGCACTTCTTTATTACTTTCGGTAAACTTTTCTCGTAAACTTAACTCGTAAGTTAACAAGAAACTGTCTTAAGTCTTGACATTCTACAAGAGATTTATAGCTTATTTTTTTATTGTCAATTTTTACTCCCATAAAAGTTGAAAGATTCACATATAATAACGTGATAAATTTTTAGTAGATTTCATTAAAATCTAACTATTGCATTGGTTCTCATGATGGAACTTTTAAAAAATTTTGCTATATTCCGACTAGCTGAGTCAGAAAAATACATATGGTTCAAAAGTCGATAACGTCGCTAATTAACAACAGATCTTTATCAAACTTAACATACTTATTCTATAGATAGATAGATACCGAAGTTAAGTTAAAAGATGAGTTTAATCGGTCAAGTAATTTAGAAATGTAAGGATTTAAAAATCATAAAAATTTATATTTTTTCGCTTTTTTATTCGAACAATTTTTTAATGGGATAATTTATTGAATCTTTGTAAATTGCATTTAAAAGCTCTTTAAATAATTATTTAAGGATACTTTTTTGTTTTTAAAATGATTGAATCTAATAAATAAGTAACTAATTAATTATATTTTCAGTACTCCAGTGTTGATGAACTAGAAAAAGATTTTATTCAACTGTGTAAAAATGCCCAAATTTATAATGAAGAAGCCTCGCCAATCCACGAAGATTCAATAGTCTTGGAATCTGTTTTTATAAACGCACGACAGAGGCTCGAAGCCGAGGGTTCAGTCTCAGACGATGGTCAGTAATAATATTTTTATTTTTATTTTTAATGTCACTTGGGTCCTAGTTTGATTTTTATAAAATAACATTTTTTTTTTTTTTTTTTTCAGGAAATAACTCATCTCCCGGCGACTGCGATGATGGATCGGACGGGGACTCGAGTGTAAGGATGAAGATAAAATTAAAAGGACGCAAAAGTGAGAGCAGAACGGGTAGACGGAAAAGGATAACTAAAAAGTATGTTTCTGATGATGATGACGATGCTGATGATAATTAATTTACTTTTTTATATTTAATTAACTATTCTATTATTAATATTACTAAAATTTATTATTATTAGTTGTCAGATTTAGATTTATAGTTAATTCTTATAATTTACATACCAAACTATTGAACTTAATTAGAGTTTAAGTGGACCGCACTTTAATTTTTATAAAAAATAAGCAATTTTATTTAATAATTTTTTTTTGTCTGTTTTGGTAATGCTCAAAATTAAATGTTTGTCTTTGATAAAAAAATATCAGATTAATTAATTAATTATTGCATTTAAAATTTTTTCAATTTTTCTTATAAACTACAATATAAAAATAAATATCTGATATTTCTTTTTTTGATATTATGAAATTGTTGGAATTTAATTAAATAAAATAATCATCGTTAATTGAAAGCCTGAGATATCATTAATAATTGTTTTTAATTAATGAATCTAATTAGCAGCGTATAATATATGTTATAATGACAAATATATATTTATAAATATTGTAATGTATTGTAGTTAATACGTGTATTGTAAGAACGGAGTAATATTTAAAAAATAAAATAAAATGAACAATAACTGAAGGTAGTAATGAATATTCAAAAGTAATGATGATAAATAACTGGTGTTTGAGTTTGTGTGTCTGTGTCTGTGTCTAGTCTGTCTAGATGTAAGTTGTAAATCTGGCACCAATAAATCACAACATGACGCCGGCTCTGAAAATTTAACTCAAAGCTACACATTACTGATGTAATTTACACATCAATTGCGCTTTGTTTCCATGAATACTAATTAATGAGTGTCATTATTTTTATTTTCATTTCTTTTGTCAAACCACCAAGCTATAAATTTTCACATCACTCTTTTTTGTTATTCAGGTTTTTGAATAAACTTTTTATTAAAAGAAAATTCAAATTGAATGGAACGAAAAAATTTATTCACTGACCTCGCAAACAACGTTAACGAACGCGGAATCAATTAATTTTTCAACAATTGCAATCGAATGGATTTTTATTTGCCAGGCGTATGATTCAATTCTGTTTTTATCAATTCATGAATTTTTTTTTTCAGGTCGTTGGAAGTCAAATTAAGATTTTAAAGATTTAAGTTTTAATTTAAATTTGAATTTTTAATTACTTTGTCGGATCTTGGAAAATTTTTTATATCAATTTAATAGTCAAACTAGCAACCTTGCAGTCACTATGTGACTGCCATGACTTGTGAACTCTAAATAAATAAAATTTTGCTTTATTAAATAACTTTTGTTGAATTGAACTGTACTTTCTTAACTATTGAAAGTTTTAAAGATATAAGCTCATCCCGATGTTACACTCATCAAGAGTTTTCATTTGAGTACCCACATGCATTTTTGATATATTTTTCATATATACATATATGTAATATATATAAATATACAAAATATATGAAAAATTGATGTGAGTACTCAAATGAAAGGTCTCGATGAGTGTAATGTCGGGATGAGCTTATATCTTTAAAAATGTCAATAGATGACAAGATACTAGGCCATTTCTTCATTATCGATATTTTTAAAGATATAAGCTCATCCCGATGTTACATTCATCAAGACCTTTCATTTGAGTACCCACATGCATTTTTGATATATTTTTCGTATATACATATATATAATATATATAAATATATGAAAAATTGATGTGGGTACTCAAATGAAAGGTCTTGATGAGTACAGTATCGAGATGAGCTTATATCTTTAAAAATGTCAATAGTTCACAAGATACAAGGTCATTTCTTAATTATGTATTTAGAGATCGAGATATTTTCTAATGTAGCCGAAATACTTATCAAAATAAATTGACCTTTTCAATGACACTAAATTTTACTAAAAAAACCGCATATCACATGACTATCCTGGATACAAAATTTTTTTTATTCTCTTAATAATATAGATAACTTAATTAACACCTCAGCAAAGAAATATCAAAAATGTAGTATTTTATTTTATTTATTTTTTTTTCATCTGCTAACACACCATTTTTCTTTTAATAATCGCATCATAATGAAGCGTAATTATTCTAGAGAATAATTTTAAGCGTGAAAAATAGTAAAAAATAATTCCCCTGAGGTTGAAGCTAGTTTACTTGGGTATAATATTTAAATAAAATTTATTTTTAGGAAAAGCTCCGGAAATAGTAAAATGAGAATTACATTAAACAGTCTCTAAATGAAATATTTTTTTAAAACAATTATAATAATAATAATAATAATAATAATAATAACAAAAAGACAAGTATTTTATCCCGGAAGCGTAGAAAATTTTCGTGTGATTTTCAGCGTCAGCTTGGCAAAAAGGAATCACGCATGAGTGAGTAAACGCGATGAAATAAGTAATATATCTATATCTATATAACTGTATGAAAAGTCGGGTATGAAAATAAAAGAAATAAAAAAAGAGCAAAGAGAGTTAACTTTATCTGCAGTGCAGTTTATCCGTAAAGATTAAACCAAGCTGAAAGGTACATCATTAGTAGCGTGTGCGCAAGTGAAGATAACAAATAATCCGTCTTTTTAAGCGATAATAATTTTTCTCATTTATATATATAGATATATGATACTTATTGTTGGTTATTTATTTATCATTTTTTATTCCTTATCTACTCTCGCTCTTCCTTTTTAAGAGTAAACTAATAGTTGAGTATCAATTCGCATTCGATTATTTACTTTTTTTTTTTTTTTTTTTTTTTTTTTAAATTAGGTAATCCTGAACGCTCTTAAACTCCAGTACCTTACTGCAGTGGCATCAACTACACCCCCGTAGACAATAAAAGTACTGGTAGTGATCTTGGTCTGTAGAAGTTGAAGTAGAAGTTCTGTTGGGAAAGAGGGTGAGATGAGAAAAGAGACGAGAGGAAAGTGGAAGAAGTAGAGTAACAATTTTATTTGAATCGCTCACAAGACGAAAGCACTTTACTCCGATCGCTTTACTCGGTACTTTCGATTCGTCTTTGCTTACCCGATTGAATTGCGAATCAGACAGAAACATTGCTGTGACTGACAATCAGGGCTTACATTCAATATACCCCATTAAGTCTACAGATGCTGTTATGTTTTTTATATAGATACGTGAGATAATAAAATTATTAAATTATAGATAAAAGTAATTATATTTACTTCGCAAGTTTATTTTGTAAAGAAAGATTTAATTTTTAGTAATTACACACTGATAAAAAAATTAACTTGACTCAAGAGCAAAAATTTTAAACCAATAATAATATTTTGAAGAAAATGATTTTCTTGGATCAAGAAATTACTCTTAATTTAAGTAAATTTTTCTTTTCTTAAAAATTTATTTTTTTGACTCAAGAAAATTATTTTCTTCAAAATGGTATTCTTGGTTCAAGATTTTGGCTCTGGAGTCAATTTTTTTATCAATGCATAAAAGTCGAGCAATTTCTCAAATTTATATTTTATTAGAAATTTTTAATCGCACGCGATAAAAATTTAAAGTTAAAATAAATTAATTAAATTAATAAATTAAATAAATAAATTAATTAAATAAATAAAATAAATAAAAGTGGCATTAAAATAAATTTTTAGGCCGCAGGAAGAAAAATATTGATAAAAAAATTTAATTTATTCAAAAGCGAAATTTTTGAACTAAAAATATTATTTTGAAGAGTTTTTTTGATTTTTAATCAAATAGAAAAAATCATAAAGCAAACTTTACTTTAAAGATGATTAAATTCTTAAAAATTTTATTTTTCTCTTAAATTAAGTTAATTTTTTTTTTTTAGTCCAAAAATTAGAAATTTGAATGGCCGAAGAGATTTTTTTGTTGTGTATTAGTTGTAAGATTAATTAAAAAATATTTTGAAACTATTATCACCTAAATAAAATCTTTTCTATCCTATTTTTTTTTTGAAAAGTAAAAATAATGTCCAATTTTTTCTATATATTCCATTATTAATTCTACAAAATTATTTACATGATCTTCAAATTGTTTATTAAAAATTTCAATTTAGAGACCTTTAAAATTTTAATTTTTTTTAAAATCAAACCAGTAAAAACTTTTATCAAATTATTATTTTAAAAAAATTAACATTAGAAAAATTGATGTTTATTTTATAAAAAAAAAGATTATAAAATAATAATAAGCACAATTAAAAATCTAAAATAATTTATTGAGCCTGGTGCTAACAGTTTAGTGCAATAAATCCTACCACTTAATTTTTACACTTGTATTAATCGTAAATCTCGAGATGTCAACCGGCGCGTCTGCACGAGACAAAAGAAAAAAATTTAACAAAAACTCACAAGATATGAAATAGAACAAACAAAAAACAAAAAAGGAAGAAATGACTAAATAAAATAAAATAGGGAAGAAACACGGGCAGGAGGATTTTTCAGGATTAACTAAATTTAAAAAAATGAGTGACAAAAATTGTCGAGATGTAGGCAGGAAGTGAAGAAGCAGCGACAGCAGTAGTAAAATAAAATGTATAGGTACAAGTACAAGTCGAGTTTTCAGTGTACAGTAGTTTGTATTCGTAGGTAGAGAACTGATGACGGTCTGACCGATGCTGACCCATGTCTACTGATGGTAATTTCCCGTACTATTTTGAATTTAAGAAATAACTTCTGTCTTACTCCTCAATTTATCTTGGCAATCATCGACTTTGCATGAAAAAATCTGTAATCCTCTTACAAATAAGCTCTTCCATTCATTCCACAGCCCACGAGGAATTTCAGTGTCCAGCGAATAAACTGCAAGGTCAACCACATCATCAACAACATCCTGCGCTATTTTACAAACTTCACGCCTAATTTTTTCTTCTTGTTCGTTCTCCAAACGTCGCTGGAGTTCATTGAACCTTCTAACTTCATCCTCCAACTCTTCATCGTCCCAAGCTTTCATTTCGCGCTTGCTTTCTTCAACCAAACGCATATGGTTCTCTTTGGCTTTGAACATCATTTCATTAACCATCTGTCTATTAGCAGCTATTCTATCCTTTTGCCGACGTATTTCACACAATTTAGTTGTCATTTTCTTCTCGTAATCCGACTGACGCAACACAGTTTCTGCAATTATTTTGTCAAAGTGATTTTGTTGATCCTCTTCAAACTTGTCCCAAAAATATGTCAATACGCGATTTTGGATTTCTTTGTTACGCTGATCTATTTCAGAATCTCGCTTTCTGCGGGCTTTCAATTCTTCGATGTATTGTTTTGCCGCTTCTGGACGTCCGTGAACATCATAAGGCTCTAATTAAATACAATATTAACAATTATCAATTACTAAATTTTTTTTCTTACTTTTTTTTCTCTTCTTTAAAATTTTTAAAAATTTCTTAAACCTATCTTCTCTTTACAGATCGACGGTCTAATTAGCAATTTGTCTCTCCTTATTTTTTAGAGAATCTAATTATAAATTATTTGAATGATTCAAACTTAAATATTATATCTCTATTAGATATTAATGATATTAAATGGTTTTTTAAAGTGATAATAAGTTTTGAACTAATTATTTTTGTCGTACAAATAGAAGATTCTCTAAAATAGAATTAGACAACTTGCTAATTAGAATGTCAAGATACTATTTATTGTATATAATTATATAATTATTACTAAACATTCTACACATGAAAATGTAACATATTGTTGCAAATTACGTTCCATTACAAATAAATAAATAATATAAAATCATTAATTACACAAATATATTAATAATTAAATCAATAAATAGTTATTTTCAATAACTGAACATTAAATTTCTATAAAAATTTCTGTAAATAATAAATAAGAAATTTCAATTTTAACTTATTCAATTTTTTTTTTAATTTAATTAAAAAGCTACCAAAATTTAATTCTCATCTTTAAAGTAGCTATTTTTTTCATAATTTCTTTTAAATTAACAAAAATAATTACCTTCAGTCTTTGAACATGAAACATCAGCATGTTTTTCAGCAAAATCATCAAGTTCTTTCATCATTTTCTTCTTAGCATTTCTTCTAACTTCCTTCTTATCAATTTTACGAGCAACAGTTTTACTTTTTAACGACCCGTCATCAGAGTCTTCATTATCCGTGACTATTCTTGAAGCTTGTGATGAGCTAACTTTACTATGCCGTTCGCGTAAGTAATTAGTAATCATTTTCTTGACATCTTCCTTATGGGAACCCGATAATTGTGTATTGATCTCCAACAACTTAAGCAACGGGTGTTCCGGCAAAGTTTTCTCAAACTCCGGCTCTTCCGGAACAACCTTTACGTCAAATTTAGTCGAAGCAGGTACATATTTTTCTCGCTCTTTCTCGAGAGTTATGAAATGCAAGCGATCTTTATTTTCTAGGCACAAATAGATTTTGTAGAGCAATTGGAAAGCCGCTGTACCTTTGCCATTTGAAATGTCCTCTATAGCTTCCCGATCGCATTCGACCCCGATAAATCGCAGCCAGACTTGAAGATGCCGTAAATTAACTCTTGCCAACGCTGGGTCTGACGTATGGATTATTGTATTTAATTGGCTCTCGTTTATTACCGCATAACTGTGTAACAGTTTCGCGTAAAATGTCCCATCCTGACAGCAGTTTCCTATTGATGGTGCTGTTAAATCAATTATTACACCCAGTCTCGATCGTATCCATGCGCTGATTATTTCGGCCATAACTTGGACAGTTTATTGGTTAATTCACGATTTTGCTTTTGGCGTTTATGGGATCGTTAATCACTTGAAATCAGCTGTATCTGCAAAAATTAATATTTTATATAGCCAGTTGTAATAATTTCAATAAATTAATTATTAAATTAAATACTTACTTCAAGCATATACTCAATACTAAAGAAGTTAAAAATTATTTTTTAAATACACTATAATAAAAAATAAATAATAAATTTTATTTATTTTTCAAAGTTTAACAAAAATAAAATTTTTTAATTAATAAAAAATTTACCATTAAAAATTATTTTCAAAGAATGGATCTTAGGAAACTTTGATGGATACAAGTCAAATTTATAAAAAATTTCTTCTCAAAATATTCCATCATTTTTTTTTTTATTTTTATTAATTGTGAACACTTTTACAAAAATTTAATGTAATTAAAAAAATTGAGGTAGTGTGAGACTAAGCGTAGTTTTACAAAAATAAATAATCTTAACTTGATAATTAAAAAACAATACTGACATATGGATTCTTTAACTTAAAAAAAATTTTTTTTTTTTTAATTTCAACTGTTGATTTTTTAAAAATAATTTTCAGTCACTTTCATCTCGATTTCTCTTTAAACTTTTCTTCTCACTCTTAGATTCTAAATAAGAATCCTCTTCCTTTACTTCCTCTTTTATTTCTTCTTTCAAATCACCAGTATTTGTTATTTCTTCCTCAAAATCTTTTTTTTCAACACAAGAAGACTCAAAATAAGAAGACTTGGCCTCACTTTTCACCAAAATTCATTTTGATTTTTATTTTGCGTACCATCAAGAATTTCAGCTATAAAATACTGCGGATACTCATTACTAGTTTCCGTACAATTTTTACTAAAATCAGAATTCGATTTAGCTTTTTTCACGACTGGTCTACTCAAATCCATGTTGTAAAACTCGTTCAAATTAAGATCATCAATTTTCCCTCTTAAGAACAAAATATGTTTCTTAATAGCTTGATAAAAAAAGAGTTTATCTTCCATCCTCGGATAATTAGAACACCTGGCACTACTAGAAGGTACGACCCAAAGAGCAGTGTCCCCAATTTTTTCGTTCTGAAGACCAAAGTTGAACTTAGTTTTCCCGAACTGCTGAGCAAAAATCTGGTAGATGCACTTTCCATTAAAAACCGCGAGCTTGGGCTTGAATTTCTTCAATTTTTCATTAACAATATCGCACCCAAGCTTTATTTCCTTGGCATTTAAATCAGCAGAAGATCGCGTAGCGCGGTCAACAATGTTGGTCAGCCCAATGTTGTATTCAAGAAGTTTATTGTCCTCTTCAAAGCTAACAAACTTAGGAACCAATTCAGACGCATGCAAAAGTTTATAAAAATGATTACCAGGACCAGCGTAATAACGACCTTTGTACGCGGCTGTTAAACTTGGATTTATGCCCACGAAGACGACATCCAAGTCTGGTTGCAGGTAATCCGACAGTGTCTTTGATTTCTTCATTATTTCTTCTTCTGACGTTCCATCAAAACGACCATTTTTCTTCCTTGACATTTTAATGGTTTTTTTAACTAATAAATTCAAATAAGATTTAAAATTCAGGAAGTTGGTCATGAAATATTTATGAAGCCTGAAAAAATAAAAATTATTAATTATTTAAAATATTGATTAAATTGATATTTATCTTGAAAAAAAAAAATTAGTTTAATTATCTTTAATTAAATATTAACATAAGACTTTTGAGGTCAAACTATTTAAAAATCAGCTTATAAATATCTTATCTTAATTTAATATAAATGCTACCGAAAAAAATAACAAAGAGTTAACTGTCTAGCGTAATTTTATCTTGTAATTATAATATCTTGTTGAAATAGAAGCAATTTAACACTGAGTACTTTGAATTTTTTATAACTAAAACTATAATTATTCAAAAATGTTATTTTAATTAATTAATATGTTCTAATGTTTATTATTTCACGTAATTTACTCATTATTCAGTCTTTTTTTTTTTACTTTAATCTACTTGTTTTTATAAATAATAATAAATAAATAAATACACTTATGAATGATTGCGCAATACATACCTTAACAAAAAATGATTTAAAAAAATAGTTAAAATAAAAAAATACAGCACATTGTTAATTGGTCCTTAAATTAAATGAAAAAAAAAAAAAATAAATAATTTTAATTGTTTGAATAATTTTTTATTACATGTACACTTCTATTCAATCAAATTAGAACATAAATAAATACTACAATTTATCAGAAATAATAATTGAAATTACAATAAAAAAAATGTAATTAAAATATAAAAGAGGGTTTCTTCTTATTAATATCTGTCTAGACTAATTTTAAAGAAATACATCAGCATATATACTTGATTCAAAGAAGCGTATTATCAAAGAAATATTGTTCCTTTATTTATTAATATTCATTATTTAATATGCATAGATTGATAAGGTTATTACTGATAACACAACTTTCGAATGATCTTCAATTTCTGTTCTTAGTTTTGTTCCATTCATAAATAAAAAAAAAAAAAAAAAATTAATTAACTGTTACAAACTTAACGAACACTACCTTTGGAATGAGCTATAAGCCATTGAAGAGTAATATCGATATTATCTTTTTCTTTACAAGAAATGCTGTAGCAACAAATTTCGCGATCTTGGATCGCGGAGAGATTCATCCTATCTATTAAGCCATTTTCATCGAGAGCGTTAGGGAGATCTCTTTTGTTGCCTAGCACTAACACGGGAATACCCGAAAGTTGAGGTTTGTCTAGAAGATTGTGCAGTTCGTTACGACTAGCCTCTATTTTATCGGGATCAGCTGCGTCCATCATATAGACAATGGCATTAACTCCTCGACAGTATCTCTCCCACATGGATCTAAACCTGGGTTGGCCTCCAATGTCCCATATTTTAATGGTCACATTTCCTTTGGTTATTTTTCGCATGTTGAATCCTACTGTGGGTATCATGTCTTCACTGAACTGACCGGAGGCGATCACGTTGACGAATGTTGTTTTTCCACTGTATTGAAGTCCAATCAACGTTAATTCCATCTCCTCCTTCCAAAATAACGACTTTAGCCAGTCGAGTATACGATTTATTAATGCGAACATTTTGGCGCACCAGGGTTCAATCCAGCTGATAATTAAAAAATTACATTTCACCACAATGATTTTGTTCGACACTAATTAGCGGAGACAGTTATTTTGTATGTTAATATTATATGTGAGCTTTTAACAAACGACATTGAATTTTATTATTTTAATTTAATTTATTTTTTATAACTAGAAAAATTATTATCTTAATATTTTTTGCTAATTAATAACATTGAATTTTATTATTTTAGTTTAATTAATTTTTTATTATTAGAAGAATAATTATCTTAATGTTTTTTGCTATTGAAAATCATTGAACTTTATTATTGTATTTTTTATAACTAGAAAAATAATTATATCAATGTTTATTGCTACTTAAAAAACTTTGTTTTCATTATCAACACATTCTTAAGATAAAAATAAATGTTTTTCAATAATCAGCACAATAATATTCTTAGAACAATTTTTTCTTGTAACTTGTAAATATTTTTTACGATAAAAATGATATATATTTTTTTTTTTAAATTTAATTTACAGCTTTATTATTGAATTCGATGTCGTTTGTTGGATTACTTGTGCATTGAGCTATCATGCGTGAATAAATTTATTAGATTCAAATCAAATTTTCTTAAATAATGGCTATTTTTTTAAAATTTTAAATTAAAAAAAAATAATTAGAGAAAACGATCTCTCCTAGTTATTTAAAAAATCATTTTCAAAATACAATTACAAAATTTAATTTCAAAATAAATTAAGATGACCTTGTCACTCTATTTTAATTTTTTTTAACTGGATTTTTTAAAGACGTGAAATGTTGAAGAACAATGAAGAAAAAAATGAAATAATAGAATTATACAATGTGATGAACAAGCCATTTAAAAAAGTTAACTATTCATTATTGAAATAAATAAATATATTGAAGAGTTAAGTTTTCTTTGTATATGGCTATTTTTTTAAAATTTTAAATTAAAAAAAAATAATTAGAGAAAACGATCTCTCCTAGTTATTTAAAAAATCATTTTCAAAATACAATTACAAAATTTAATTTCAAAATAAATTAAGATGGCCTTGTCACTCTATTTTAATTTTTTTTAACTGGATTTTTTAAAGACGTGAAATGTTGAAGAACAATGAAGAAAAAAATGAAATAATAGAATTATACAATGTGATGAACAAGCCATTTAAAAAAGTTAACTATTCATTATTGAAATAAATAAATATATTGAAGAGTTAAGTTTTCTTAGTATCATCTGTCATTTTCTCTGTTGTATAGAAAGTTTCACTCAAACTATTTCTAATAATGAAAATATTGTCATCGATAATTCAATATAGTCATTTACTTTAATTAGAAATTTCACTTGGGATATTTTGAAATAACCAAGCACTCTCTCAGATTATCCGATTGGAAATTTTCGCTGCTCCACCTTAAAATGAAAAGACAATTAGTTCAGACGAAAATATTTATAATTTTACAGAGCCACTTAATTTAATTAATTTCAGTTGAATCTAATAAACAACAAAATATAATAATTTTAAATAATAACAATGATAATAATATTGATTAAGAATCAATTAACAATGTGCTATGAATATTTATTATTTAGGCTCTTAACCTAACAAAGCAAATTCTTAAATCATTTTTTATCAGTCAGGTGATAACTTAACAATTAATCTGATTAATTTATTTTAATAATAAAAATAATAATTTTGATTATCGGTAATTAAGTGATTAAGATTTGTATTTTTAAAAATTAAAAACATGAAAATTATCGACATTTACAATTGCTTCATGTTTTATTAACAAATAAATGTAAGAAAAAAATTTTGCGTGCAAAAATCAAAAAATTTTCCACGCAATTTTTCGATTTTTTTAATTAAATTTATTTGTTTAAAAATTGCCGTATGTCGACTGCTTTCATTAATTTAAATAAACTTATTACAAAAAATGCAATAATTATTTTATTAAAGTACTTTTGTTTATAAAATAATTATTTTCGATGAATAATGCAATGACTCATTATTGCAATCAAATAATTCCATGAAAAAATCAATAATTACAAAACATAATGTTAGCCTTTAAAAACATCTTTAAAAAAAAAGCGAGTGTTATTAATTATAAATAAAAATTAAAAAAAAAATAAACAATACAATAATTAATTGCAGCCGAATTAATGAGTTTTAAAAAAAATAATTATATATAACAGATGACGTTTAATAAGAGTTTGTAGGTTATTCATACGCACCAAAGTAATGAACTGTCACTTCAAGAACAATTACATCAAATGAGTTAATTTAAGTGACTATTATTTATTGTTGCGTATTTGTAAATAATCTATCCAGTCAGTGGGTTATTTATTGTAAATGCTTGATAAATATAATAATTAGATGCCTCAGAGTTTCGTATGTTTACAAGGTTTGCACTAAAAATGGCGACCAGTTATAAATTCACCGGGAATTCATAGTTCATAAATTCCCGCCAGAGGCCACCTGTTGTCTATTTGAAAAGTTAATAAACACTTGGGTCCAGAGTGCTAGATACGCTGTTGCTGTCAGTTAGGCTTATACAGGCAGTATGTGGTTTAACAATTTATTTATGATGATTGTTGATTATTTATCAGAATATTGCCAAAAAAAACAAGAATAATTTGCAATTCTATTAAATACAAGCTAAAATGAATAAACTTTAATTAAATATCAATAAAAAAGATAAATTAATAATGTAAAAGAGTCGCGTTAAATTAGTAATTTTTTTTTGTCCACCATTAATATTTTCCAAAAGTTTAATGAAGCTATATCTTCTTTTATTTAAAAACAATTATGGGATGAATTTTTCCAGAAAATGAAAAAAAAGGTAAATATATCATTTTTAATGATACTGAAGTATGAAAATAAAGTTAGCCGACATCTAAAAATTTTTATGATTTTTTTTATTAAAGAATTATTACAAAAAAATTTTTTTCATTTGTTAAAAACTTAAAAAACTATAAGTGCAATTTTTAAAATATATTTTTGAGTATAAGCAATCAATTACAATAAAAAAAAAATGCTTCTAAAAATAATTATTACAATTGATATTTTTCAAAATTTTAATTCCAAAAATTATTTTTTAGGTTTTCAACTCCAGCTGAAGTTTCAAAGATGTCATCGGTGATTCAGAAAACTTCGTCCAGTCAGTATGAAAATAAATTTTCATTTATTTTATTATTTTATCAATTAATTAAAAAAAAAAAAAGTAACTTACTCAAACGATAAATTTTTGAATTTGTTATTATAATTTCTAAATTCTGAAATTTTTATATTTATGAGAGAAATTTTATGGTATCCAACATTAACCATCAACTGATAGTATAAACCCCAATTGAAACACGGCATAGCTGTGTGCCAGTAGATACTGACCTCTGGATAAATTCAAAGTAGCCCAGCCGCTTGTAGAGGAATAAATGAACCATGATAGATTATTACACTTGAATCCTAGGTATGTTTGACGACAAGCTACGAGAGATAATCCAAAGTTTACACAAACAACTGACATGTCAGTGATGCCGGTGTTTTCCCACGTTTCCAATCAAATCCAAGTGTACAGTAGCTTATGCAATAGATCTGTAGATAATGTTGATACGAAATATCAGTTGTTTCACTTCAAAACATATCTCTATATGTCTATATTTACATTTTCTCAAAGCTTATGCAGTTATTGATCTATTTATTTACAATCAAAACTCCCTTATAGACTGAAACTTTTAATTTGAGCACAAATATTAATCAAACTTTCTTTGATAACTTTGTTTATCTTGATAATAATTTTAATTCAATTAATTGAATAACTTTTGATTGATAATTTAAATAATATTGAAAGTTTAAATGATTAAAAAACAATTATCTAAAAAAGTTTTTGAACTAAAAAATGTTTTTTAGTTCAAATAAATTTTACTTGTTTCAAGAATTTTTCTATTTAATTTGAGCTCGAAGAGCTCAAAAGCATAGAACAGCTAATTCTTTGAGCACAAAGAGCTCAAAAACGTCATATGTGCAATTTTAAGCGCTTCGGTATTGAATTAGTGGGAAATTGCAGGGATAGCCTTCAGGGTCAATCATTTTCCGAATTTTTTTTTATCAACAAAGTGAAATTTTTATAACTTTTAATATAGAAAGAAAAAAACTATTGATCGTAGTAATTACGAGGAGTTTCGAATAATTTATCAGCACTTCGTAATAGCAACAGCAATCGGTGAATATTCAAATTACGAATTAGAGAACACGGTGTTAATTACACTCATCAAGCTGAATGCACTTAAACGAAGTGATCTGTGAGTAAGAGCATAAGTGAGAATTTGAGGATGGTTGCCAAATCGATTTAGGATATGAGTTAAGATCTAACCGTGAATTAATAGCTAATCGTGTTATTAAATGTTTATTCATCCATTCTATAATTAAATTCAATCCATTTAGTTGTACGTATACAACTTTCATTAATTAATATACAGGACTAATTGTTTGTCTTTGGGTTCGATCGAATTAATTGGCATCTAATTACTGAAGCTACTGGTTGTCAAATACAGGCCTATAACTAATGGCAATGGCTAATAGCATAGAGAGACTAGATCAGAAGACAATGCATTGGATAGCTTTGGCTATGCTGGGATAGTGGATCCATCAAATGGATCTATTGATTTTTCATTAATGATTTTAGTGAAATTATTAAAATTATTGATGCTTAATTATTTAGATCGCTATTTTATTTTTTCCGTAAATAGAAAATTTATCTAATCATATGACAAGACCAGCTTTGTCTTGTATACTTCAGTCGTCAGTCTTTGGTCAAGAGTACCATTTACTGTTGGATCGAAGAATAAGTATGCAAATACTTGTAAATTTAAAATGGATTAATAGTACGCGATTTGAAGGCGCCTTTATCATCCCTTTGTTCTCTTTGCACCTAGTAGACACCTAGATACAGAACAGCATTACAGTTTATGTGTATGTACAGCTGAGTTTTTGGTTGCACGGAGACAATGAAA